TATTCTGATGCACAAATTCCTCATGCTATGACGCTTCATACCAATAGCGCAGACAACTCGCCCTCTGTACGGCGAACTGGAACCTCCGAAGGTGTTGTCATTACAGACGAAGCAGGTAACAAGCGGAGGAAAATCACTAACCTCTCAACAACGCCGCTGCGCAGTGTACCCTATGGTTCTCAAGTGAATTTGAATGCGGCAGCCAGCGGACCGTTGCGGCAAGCAGAGTCAAACGAAGAGGCCTACAGTGATCTGCTGAAATGGCAGAACATTGCTGGAGGCGACCAGATCGTAGATCTACCTGACGAGGACGAGCTGGAAGATGATGAAGACTTTGGACCGATGGATTCTGGCGAAGAAGATACGCAGATAAATGAGGATCAGCATGATGATGTAGTCGAAGAGACGAACAAACGGACCAAGCTGAGCCAGGATGAGATCGTTCGGATCATCAACGAGCGAATCGAGTTTTATACAAATGCTTGGGTACCGAACAAAGGCGTTCCCAGTAAAGAGAGGGTAGATCCAGAAACTGTGTGGAACGAGGCTGAAGCAAAAGGCGAGCGAGAAAAGCTTGCACAGCACTATGAAACAGAGTACGATTATTTCAGTCAAAGATTGAACATATGTTGTGACAAGATCATAAAGGGACCAGGAAGCAATACGGTAAGCTATCATACTTTCCCGATCACTCTAACAACATAAGCTGACAGTAGTCTTTGCAGAAACAAGTACGGCAACAATGTGGCAACCTCGAAGGCACTGTGGATTGCATGGAGCATGCGGCTTGGTTGCGCGATATTTACAAACTGAAACCTGTCCACGACGGCGAAGAAGAACACGTACTGGACGATCAATCAAGACTACGACAAGATACGTCAACTCATGGAGGCGAGCCAACAAGTGAGGTTATCGATCTAGGCTCACCCTCGTGCTCATCTGACATTGAGAACGGGAACGTATTGCCCTTTGACAACAATACTGGGACTGTAGCCCATACAACTGAAGACCAGTTTGATAATCGTGTCCGGTCATCTACGCGAGACTCAGTCATCGCTGACAGCGTGGAGCTAGTTGAATATGCACAACTAGGGCCTTTTGAACCAGACGGCGCCTTTCCCACACGTACACCTGTTAATCACGGTGATGGACCTGAGAGCGCCTCCATTGCTACAGTTCGCCGCTGGAGATGGGAAGATTTAGTCGAGCATCTTGACCGGAAGCGCGTTGTATCCAAAGTCATCCAGGAACTGAAGTCCAACGACCGCGAAATGATTCGTGGTCGGGTTCAGAACATTGGAAAGACCAGCCTTATCAGAGAAATGAGAGCATGCGTTAACATGCTATGCAAACGAGAGACAAAGCTGCATGGCATCCTTCCTCGGGATATGCCCAAGATTCTCACATTTACCACCCTATTCCTTTCATGGTGGTTTTGCTGCAATTATTCAAAGGGACCTGAAGCATCTAACAGAGATCTTGGTGACCTTCGGGACTGCATGGATGACGGGACTGCTGAAACAAGCACCTTTTATGACTATGTGTATACGATCATGAGAACGACTTTCAGCGAGCAAGCTTTGCGACATCCTGATCAGCCATCTCAGGCCGAGATCATTGAAATCTCAGACGATGACTGAGCCGGCGGCCGTTGGAAGATGCGGCATGTTGTGTTCAACTACGTGTTCTCTAGGAAGGGCCGTTTGGCTGTGAGGTCTAGGCCTTAGGCCTGACAAGCTGCTTATGGAATGTTCAAAGATGCCGAAGTGTGAAAATATCGAACCACGTGCGGCGTATTTCGGCAAGGCTCTCTAGTCGTGTGCACTGTACGCTAGCGAAGAAGCGCAGTTGGGGGCAAGCCGAGGTATCCAGACCAAGGTTTTGAAGAGATGTACTACTCAACCTGATAGACTGCAGATCCTCATGAGCTTGTCGAGATCAACCTCACAAAAGGGAACGGTGGCGGCTCCGGAATAGAGGTTTGAGACCAGGTCGCTGGGCAAAAGGCGGGGTACGCTAAAGCCACAATGATGACTACTGAACAGTACAGGGAGTTGCAGTTCAGGTGTTGAATGATGGAATCGGAGCACCAACAAATCTCTCTCTATGACATATGACATGTACAGAGATTGTGGTTTAGTGCAGAGAATGTAGCGTGCAGCTGTGTCGAGTTGACGGTAAAGGGTCTTACGGAGCCGTCCCTGGACCCTTTGTACGCGTATAAACAAGCCATGGAACTATCCGAGTATTTACTCTCCGGAGTACCGTACCGCTGATTAAAACGGCATAAGCAGCGTTGGAGGCTAATATAGATGAACCAATCATGACGAGTGCATTTGATGCCGAAGCCCGGCATACTAGAATCCGCGCTATTACCGCATGTAAATCATGTAGTACATCTTTGACACATTTTCGAACCGACTTTCCCTCTCTCACGCCCGTCTTCACCCTCAACCACACTCGATTTGCTTGCACTCCTACCACGCACACCGAATCTCATACACGCCGCGCATTTGACCAACATGGAGGCTCTTTTGCGCCAGTCGAAGTCCATGTGCCCGTTCCTTCACAAGACGTCACCCGCCACTCTGCGCTCCCTCTCCACCACGACGGCCGCTGCCCGCCAGGAAGTCTCTCCTGGCGCCGGAAGCATGTCGAACCTCCAGGTTCTCGCTCGTCGCTGCCCGATCATGGGCAAGGCGCTTGCTGTGCAGAGCTCCCGCAATGGCAACAACGCTCTTGCTGGTGCTTTCGGTGGTGTGCGTGCTTACCACACGCGCGTGAACCGAGCCAGGCTACACACGACAGCGTCCAAGGAAGCCCAGGCTGTCGACATCGAGAGCCTCAGAGGCAAGCAGGGTACGCCAATTCCTATGAAGCCGAGACAGCCGCATCTCTGGCACGGAGTGAAAAGCAGAGCATAAGCTGACATCGCGCAGGTCCACCATTTCCCCACGCTGCTTTGAAGCCCGCCAATGTTAAGCCCTCCAATGTCGCATCTCCGTCCGCCCCACGAGCCGCGACGTTCGACTACGAAGGCTTTTACCACAATGAGCTGGACAAGAAGCACAAGGACAAGTCGTATCGCTACTTCAACAACATCAACCGATTGGCCAAGGAGTTTCCGCGTGCCCACAAGGAATCCCCGGAGGACAAGGTGACTGTCTGGTGCTCCAACGACTACCTCGGCATGGGACGCAACCCACACGTACTCAAGTCGATGCACGAGACCCTGGACAACTACGGAGCTGGTGCCGGAGGTACCAGAAACATCTCCGGACACAACCAACACGCTGTAGCATTGGAGGACACAGTTGCAAAGCTCCACTCCAAGGAGGCTGCGCTCGTCTTTTCGTCGTGCTATGTAGCAAACGATGCGACTCTTGCGACTCTCGGCAGCAAACTGCCCAACTGCGTTATTCTCTCGGATAGCTTGAACCACGCCTCTATGATCCAGGGCATCCGTCATTCAGGCGCGAAAAAGATGGTATTCAAGCACAACGATGTCGCGGACCTTGAGGCGAAGCTGCAGTCAATTCCTGCCGAGTACCCCAAGATCATTGCCTTTGAGAGTGTGTACAGCATGTGCGGTTCCATTGGACCTATCGAAGAAATCTGCGACCTTGCTGAGAAGTACGGTGCCATTACCTTTTTGGACGAAGTCCATGCTGTAGGCATGTACGGACCACACGGCGCTGGTGTCGCTGAGCATCTCGACTACGAAGCACACAAGGCAGGCCGGCCCCAGGGCACTATTCAGGATCGCGTAGACATCATCACTGGTACACTCGGAAAAGCTTACGGCTGCGTTGGCGGCTACATTGCCGGCTCCGCCAAGCTTGTCGACACTATCCGATCGCTCGCTCCCGGCTTCATTTTCACTACTTCCCTTCCACCGGCGACCATGGCAGGTGCCAAGACGGCCATCGAGTACCAGGCCAACTACCAGGGTGACCGACGCCTGCAGCAACTCCACACCCGCGCTGTCAAGGATGCTTTGAGCGAGAAGAACATCCCCGTTATCCCGAACCCTAGCCACATTATTCCCGTCCTTGTTGGAAACGCCGAGGTGGCCAGGAAGGCGTCTGACCTTCTCCTCGAGGACTGGGGCATCTACGTCCAGGCCATTAACTACCCCACTGTTCCTGTAGGTCAGGAACGACTACGCATCACGCCGACCCCAGGTCACATCAGGGAGTACCGCGACCACCTGGTCGAGGCGGTTGATGCTGTGTGGAAGCAGTTGGGCATCAAGCGCACAAGCGAATGGGCTGCTGAAGGCGGCTTCATTGGCGTCGGCGAGGCTGGCAAGGAGGAGGTCGCTCCCCTCTGGACTGACGAGCAACTTGGCCTGACTGATGTCATCAACGAGATGAAGGCAGGCCAGGGCGCGACCGGCGTGCTCGAGGCTGTGCTCGAGAACGAGCGCAAGGCTACAGCCCAGGCTGTTGCTGCTGCTGCTTAGACATGTAGTCAGGTGCTTGGTGATGAGGTCTGGTCGCTCGTTTAGTTATTTGAGGCCTATGTAGTTGGATGAAGCGTTGATAGCGCGGAGAAATTTACACATGATTTGTCCGTGCAAACACATGTCCATGGTACCGCGTGACTATCTCGATACAGTAGTAGTGTTGTGAGGCTCAAGTGAAAGTGAAATGGTGCCTTTGTATTGTCGTGTGTTGGTGGATGTGGAGTGCACGGCCGCAGCGTTAGGTTCACGTCAGCCATTGCGCTAGCGGACAGCTCCCAGGGTTTGAGCCTCACGAAATCGAGACACGCTCCATCATCAACCGCGCCCGCCGCAACGCGACTCTACCATCCGGCGCTGCCCACCCCCATCTAATCGCCGCCTAATCCAGCATTCACTGTAATTGCTGGCTGCAGGGCGCGCACATATCACGAGACCGCTACCCATCACCCTCACGAGCAACCACCGCATGCTCCCCACACATTTCATCAACTCTTTGCTCGCGCCGGTCTCTCGATCGTAAGAGGGTACCATTATGCCTCCTCCACCCAAGCGCAAGCGACCCGAGCGCACTTACTCGCAGGACGACGACCGCAGTGGACGCCCGTCGCCGCACCGCCCCCAGAACCTCGGATTCGCGCATCACCAGCAGCAGCAGCAGCAGCAGGCCAACAGCCCGCGCGGAGGCGGCGGCGGAGGTGGCAGGCGGCAGAGCAGAAACAACGGACGCGGTGGCTCCAGCGTTCCCCAGAGCCCTAACAACGCCTCATCACACGCATCGCCGACCGCCATGTCTCCGCCTGCGAACACCTTCCCGTTGACTCGGCCGTCTCAAGCCACACCGACCACCCCGGCCCCAGCGCCGGCTCCCTCACAACCTTCGACGCCCTCCACACCGCGCGAGGTTCCCGAGAGCAATGAGTATCTGACGCCAGACCGCGTCGCTCGCTGGAATGGCGAAGCACGCGACGCTGTGGTCAAGGCCGCCATGGCTGCTCAAGGCACAGGCGACGTCCTCACCCTCTCGGTCATATTTCACGAGATCATCGAGGCGTCCATGGACCAGCTGCTAGATGCCGGCGAGTTGGGCTCAATAGTACGCGACATCACATCTGCCCCGGCCGACGAGCATGTCGACTCAGTATCGACGTTCCTCGACACGCTGAGTTCGCTCACACAAGATGAAGGCAAACAGGCGCTCGTGCGACAAATGCTTGTCGCGACAGACATCGACGTGTCGCGCATGCGAGCCGAACTAGAAAACGACCTCTTGAAGTCCTTGGGCCTTGTTCGCGATAGTTTCTCAAAAATGGCCGTTCGCAAAGCAACTCACGCCCTGTACCGACAGTCCAACTACAACCTGCTGCGCGAAGAGACCGAGGGCTACTCCAAGCTCATGACCGAGTACTTCACCACCGTAAACAGCGAACCGCCCTCACAGGAAGTCGTCGGCGAGACCTGGCAACGAGTAAACGCTCTCATTGGCGCATTCGACCTGGACATTGGCAGAGTTCTTGATGTGACGCTGGATGTGTTTGCCAACCTCCTAGTCAAGCATGGAAGGTTCTTTGTCAAGATGCTAAGGTCGAGCGCATGGTGGCCCGAGCTACGTGGTTTCGATAACATCAAGTGGGAAGAGCCCGAAGTACCGACATTGCCCTTATGGGCGCGACCTGATGCGAAGCAGTGGTATTACACCGATGAGGAGAAGGACGAACAGCTGCGCCTGCGAGAGTCGCGCGACTGCAAATTCTGGCAGCGAGTGGGTGAGTTGGGCGACCGGGCAGGCATTCAGGCCTTCTTTGAACTTGGAGGCCGTCGCATCACTGCGAACAACCGACAACCCAACCAGACCTTACCTGCCGAAGGCGCGCCATTATCGAAGCAACAGGCAGCTCGGAGATGGGCCGACGAGTGGATGGAGCAGACCAAGACACTCCCTCCGTCAGGAAACGACATCGCCGCCCAACTGCTTGGCTTCAAGCTCCAATTCTACGCGTCAGATGTCCGCGATGCCACCGACGAACTTCCTGACAATCTCATGTACCTGATTGCGCTCCTGATCAAGATTGGCTTCATCTCTATTCTGGATCTTTATCCTCATCTATATCCACTAGAGCCAGACATGGGTGCACACAAAGAAAGGCTCCTCAAGGCCAAGAAAGAGAAGGAGGAAAGCGAACGAGGCGCAGTTGTCAACGCTCTGACTATGGCCGGTGCACTGCCCGACGAGACTCCTGGCCCGCCAGCTGTTTCCCGCCTCCGAGACGCCGACTCCAGATCCAAATCCGACACTGGACGGAGCACGCCTGCCAAGTCTGATGAGCCCGCGGACAAGGAGAAAGCTTTACCCGAGCCCAGGGACCAGAAGTTCACGCTTTTGAAGAGTCTGTTGTGCATCGGCGCGCTTCCAGAAGCTCTGTTCATACTCGGGCGACATCCTTGGTTTCTGGACGTTTACCCCGAGCTATTGGACCTCATCTTCCGCCTGGCACATCACTCTTTGACCAAGGTTTACGAGGAATCCAAACCGACCTCAGTTGAAAAGTCCGTCGTTGCCACCAAGGGTAGTAATAATCGGGGCATCATGCGGCCTAGCGATTATGTCCCTCGACGGACTCTCCGATGGGCCAAACCGGACCGGAAAGACCAAGATGGAGGAACCGACTACAAGTTCTATTGGGAAGACTGGGTTGACAACGTCCCCGTGTGTCAAGAGGTGGATGATGTCATCAAGCTTTGCACCAGTCTCCTAGGCTTGGTGGGACCAGAGTGTGGAAAGGATAGCGTTCTCCTAACCAAGATCATACGTATCGGCAAGAAGAACCTGGCCGACGATCCTTCCGAGTCGAATCGCAAGCGATGGGTCAACTTCTCAGCAACTTTCATTGCACCTGCGATTACTTTCACAGGCAGAAATCCAGGAGTCATCAACGAGGCATGGGATCTGTTCAAACATTTCGACACAGCCACACGATACACCATTTACCAACAGTGGTTCAACGGAATGCTCAAGCCGGTGATCAAGACAGCTTTCAAAGAAGTCGAAACTGAAACCAGGAAGACTCTAAGTCGTATCTCTGCAACCAACACCAAAGAATATGGTCGCAAAATCGCCAAGATCTCGTATGCTAGCCCAGGCATCGTCTTCCGAACAACAGTCAAGCAATTGGTCAACTACCCAAACATGATCACTGCCTTAGTCGAATGCAGTCGATATCTTACTTTGCTTGGGTATGACGTCCTGACCTGGACGCTGGTTACATACCTTCTCAACCCCGACAAAGGATCACAGCAGGATGACGGTATGTTGTCTGCGCCGTGGTTAAAGAACATTGCTACCTTTGTCGGCAAAGCTTACGCAAGATATCACTTGATGGATCCTGTTCCCGTTCTACAGCTCACCACACACCAGCTCTTGACTGCTGAAGGCGAGCTATACATGTTGGATGTTCTTGAACAAATAGTGAAGTCCATGGGTGGCATTAGCGTCAGTGGATCTGTGTCAGAGTCAGTGACTCTGGCGCTTTGCGCAGGACCTGCCCTTCGTACGTTCACTTTACAGTATCGTCTAGCGGATAACCGTACCCACGCTGCTTCTTCAGCAAGACGTCTAGTCAGGTGTCTGAAGGAGACGGGACTCGGGCCACAAATCCTCATCGCACTGGCGCAGCACGTGGAAGCTTATGTTCACCGCGACGACCAGCTGGAAGTACCCGACAAGCCTGTACTTTTCAACGTCGACAAATTGCGCTCCGTCATGCTTCAATACCTGGAGCTTCTCCGTACATTCCTCTCTGTGGACGACTTTGACGCTCTGTTCCCTTCGCTGGTAGAGATGATTGCGGATTACCACGTCGAGCCGGACGTTGCTTTCACGATTGCTCGTGCGGGCATAACAGCCAAGGCCAATGCTTTCCGAGCTGAACAACGCTCGAAGCTACTTTCCGATACACAGACGAACGGCGATGTTGTCATGAGCGGCGTTGAAGAGTCACAAGCTGTGAATGGAGCTCAAGATGATGCCACATCCGCTGAGACCTCGAAAGCGAAAGAAGACGTGGAGATGAAAGATTCTGTTGCTGCAGAAGGAGACTCGGCATCCGTGACTGCAGCTCGTTCGGACAAGCCTTTCTTGCCCGATGTGCCAAATTCAGAGGTTGAAATCCTCGCGAACCAACTGAAGGAGCAGCTACCGGAGACCTTCGGCAACCATCCTTGTGTGTCCTACTATGTCGCATTCTGGCAGTTGTCCCTGACAGACGTTGTCGTCGACGTCGATGGCATCAATCAACAATACAAGGATTCAATCGAGACCTTGGAGCGACAACTGCCTGCTCCTGTGCCCGAGCGCCGTGGGTACCGACCTAACGTACCCAAAGCTGATTCAGAATCTGTCAAGGCTCTTAAGGAGAACATAGCCAGGATCAAGGACGAACAACAGGTTGTCACGAAGAACCATGCTGTGACACAAGAGAGTTTGAAGGTCGAATTGCGTCGATGGTTCGAGGGCGTTCCAATGATGGGACCACAGTGCGACGTCTTGCACAACGCTCTGCTCCAAGACTGCTTTATCCCTCGCAGTCGCATATCTCAAGAAGACGCCCAATATGCGTTCTCTATGCTCATATTCATGCACAGCTCGGGTGTGCCAGGGTTCCGCATGAGTCGACTACTGGATATGCTCTTCAACGCAAATAGGCTTACATCTATTATCAGTATGTACACTGAAGCAGAGTCCTCATCTTTCGGGAGGTTCCTCGGTGGTATCTTGCGTGAGCTACAAGTCTGGCAGGAGAACAAGGATGATGCTTTTGTCAAGAACGCCCATGGTTTGGAAAAGAATCTTCCTGGCTTTGGCAGGAGCTACGACGGGGACCGCAACGCGACAAGCTTCTTCACTTACGATCAGTTTTGCATGGTGTTGTTCAAGTGGCACAAGGCACTTGCAGCTGCGCTTAAGACATGCCTGGAGAGCGGCAACTACATGCAAATGCGTAACTCGATCAACGTCCTTCACGCGCTGGGTACCAACTTCCCTAAAGTCACGAGCATGGGCACAGAGCTGAAGGAGATGGTGGTGCGCCTGAAGGAGAGAGAGGAGAGACAAGATCTTATGAGATCGTTGGAGTCTGTTCTTGGGCCTATCCTCAAAGGAGAGAAGTTCTGGCAAGAAGACCATGTTTTCCGCAACGTGAGTGCATCCGCATCGCCACACACACACGACAGCAAACTAATGCGCTGCAGGTACCGGCACCTACTCCTGCGCCAGGAAGCACGACGAACGGAAGCGACAAAGCTGCTACGGAGAAGGGTAAGACTCCACAGCCACAAGATGCGAAACTCGACGCGGCTGCACCTGCTTTCAAGCCGAAGTCCGAAACGTAAGTTCACGGATTGTTCCGAGATTATCAACAGTGAGACTGATCGACCTTTTCCAGGAACGGTACGCCAGTACGAGAATCGAATGAAAATAGGTCAAAGCATAATAGTGCAACTCCCGCGCCTTCCTCGAGGGACAAGCCGACGCCAAGAACATCCGACAGCAGGCCTTCTACCCCATCGCAACAAGACACCGGCTCCGGCAGACCTACACCGAAGCCAGGTCCTCCGATGCATCATTCCTCTGTTCCACTGCGACCAGATAACAGGAATACACCAGGGCAGAATACCCCCGTTGGCAGACCACCGCACGCATTACCAACGCGACCAGATCCACAACCGAGGAATCGATCAGAACGTCCTATCATTGATCGCACGCCCGAAAGTGCGCATGGTAGATATGACAATCGAGGTCCCCCTGGAGACTATGGCCGACTAGATCGCTCGGTAGATGCCGGCCGTCTGCGTGAGGCTTCGCCTGGTCGGCGCGCACGACCTCTGCCTGGCGGCAGAACTCCAGAAAGGGTACCTTCAGCCGCCGAGCATCGCGAATGGTCTGGCAGAGAACGTGATTATGATGATCGGGCTATGCGAGGACCCCCACGAGATTCGCGAGCGCCAGCAGTACGGCCACCTACTTGGGATTCACACAATCCTAGAGATATGAGAGATCAACGTGAGCGTTCTGATCCTCGAGGTCATGCTACACCTACAGCGATGGAGTCTCGCCGGATGCCCTCTACTTCCTCGTTAGCCAATGAATACCGGCGAGATGGTCCACCAGCCAACGCCCCGTATGCTGCAGAGCAAAACGATAGGCCATCACGACTGCCAGCAGTGCCGATCCCGGCCAAGGAAGAGCCCACAGTCAACCCCGCGCGTGCTGCCTTGATCAATCAAGCAGAGCATGCAGGTGGCAGACACATGCCACCGAGGTCTGATCGTGACAACCGTAGCGAGCGAGACTCTCGTATGAACTCTCCACGTCATGGCGATGATAGGCGTGGTGACGATCGTCGAGTCGAAGAGCGCCCGCCTGCTGGGTATCATGGACGAAACGACCTGCCTCGAGACGTTCGGGATGAGCGTCCTCAGATGCCACCCTCTGGTGGCCGCGACCGTCGGGACGATCCAGGAGCTAGTGCCCCAACTGGTCCTCGTGGCGGGCGCAATGAAGCCGCTGCAGCGTCTCGTGCATCACGAGAGATGTTCCAGCCTACACCTGGACCACGCGCGCAGGACCCCAACTATGGAAGACTGAACCAGCCTTCGGAGCCGGCACCACCATCAGGCCCACGCAGTGACAGACCACATGCGCCGTCGCAGCCTTCCACACCGAATGCACCCACCGGTCCCGCAGCGTCACTACCAGCAGGTATTCATCCTAGTAGGCTCGTTAACATCGAGGGTAGAGCACCAAGCGGGCCACCGCTTCAGACTAATGTACCGAACGCTCCAAGCGGCCCGCGCGGTAACAACCGCGGTCCCCAAGGACCCGTCCCATCATCACCAGTTGGTCCGCGACCTCCAACCGGTCCCGGAGGACCCAGGAATGCTGGTAACCCTCTCCGTGCCATTAATAACGTATTGACTGGAAATGCGCCCGGCGATCGGTCAAACGAACGCGGTGCACCTCCTTCTAATCCTCCTGTGCGAGGTCGTGGCGCTACACGCGCCAATGGCCCAATAGAAGGATCCGGTGGTATGACAAGCCCGATGCCACCGCCGGCGCTTGATTCTACACCCAACCGTATGGAGAATCAGCATCCGAGAAGCAGCAGGAACGATGATGTAGCAAGCAGGATGGAGGGTGCTCCACCAGAAGAAGGCCGCTCAGAGTCACGCAGCCATCGACACCGATCAGGACGCGAGCGTTCACCCGATCGATCCGACCGACCCCGCGAAGAAAGGAGCAGCCGTAACCCTCCTTCCGACCGCCCAGAGGGTGAGCGGGGCTCCGACCGAGACCGCGGTGGTCGTGAAAAACGAGGTGGCGACAGGGGAAGCAGTCATCGAGAGCGCGAACGAGACGGTGAATCAAGGTCAGGACGGGAGCCCCGTGAAAGCAGCAGACGAGAGCGTGGTTCTCGTGATGATGGACGAGCTTCGGGAAGGGACGAACGCGATAGGAGGAGCCGTGGTGGCGGAGGCAGTGGAGGAACAGACGATGGCCGCAAGAGAGGTCGCGATCCCCAGGATCAAGGCCATGGAGAAACGAAGAGGAGGCGTTAGTCGCGCCGAGAGGGCGTTCAATGTCCTACGATTTGACATGAAAGAGGGAAGCAAACCGACACTTCATCAACAACATCAACAACAACAACAACAACAACAACAACAACAACAACAATATCTCAACTTCTTTTCTCTTCTACTTTAATTCGACCCTGGGAACTGGAAATTGCATTGCGCGGCGTTTGTCCTTTTTATCATGCCTATAGTCGTTTGAGGCATTTTACGATACCCCGAGGACGAACAACTTTTCCTGAATCTGTTGGTGTTCTCGAGCGATAAGAAAAACGGCAGCGAAAGACGCATGCATCATTAAGGAGTTTTGTTTGGCTTTTCTGGATAGCCGGATGAAAAATCCGATTATCGTCTGTTTCTTTAACTTTATCTGTACTATCATCACTCAGGAAAGGAGACGAGACGAAGAGATGCGACTGCTAGTATAGACTCGCGCGATTAAACGGAATGGAGAAATGCAGTTCTCAACATATGCGACGCCGGTGCAGAGTAAAGTGCTCACTAACATTCTCCATTTCATATACATCTTGTTCCATGGTTCTGACAGCATACGATAGTACCTTGCCTTACCCCCATCCCAAATCGGAGACCGCATCCCTGACCCCTGTCAATCCTATGCAGCTGCCAAGTCGAGCATCTCATCCGGATCGCCCAGCAATATAAATTAATACAGACCCTGCAGACTTGCAGATGCGGTAGTGAGCTTGTGACTCTGGGCCAGACGGTGGATCTTCCGTGCCTGCCGTGGCTTGCGGAAGGCCCGTTGGAGGTGGGGCTTCGCATCGGGATGAACCCAAGAAGAGGGTTAGATCATCTTCGGCGGCAACAGGCCGTGTACTGCGCATGCTGTACGCAAGAAGGTGCGTTCAGCCCTGTAAGCGTTGCATACGAAGGATCAGATCGTGTATGGATAATTCCAAGACATGCATCGTGCGAGAGATTTTGCTTGGGCGGGCTCGGTTGTTTTGTGAGAAGCGAAGGATATATGAGGGTATCTTGCCCGAGAAGAAAGAAGTGAGTTGACTGGGCTTGAAGTTGAGTTCAAGATGGTATCGTCGTTCGTTCAAGTGCTGATTGGCGCTCTTGCAGCTACTGGTGTTTCTGCTGTGCACCTCAAAGCACCGCTCAATCAGACTTATGACTATGTCATTGTTGGAGGAGGCACGTCAGGTCTTACTGTAGCAAACAGGCTGACAGAGAATGGAAAACGCAAGTCATGTTTCCCCCGCAGACCGGCTCCCAACTAATATACCATACAGACACCGTCCTCGTCGTCGAATATGGCCCGCTAAACAACGACCCACGTATCCTTCTCCCAGCCGACACGTTGAACTTCGACCCATCGCGTTTCTACAACTTCACTACAGTCCCCAATGCCGGACTCAATAATAATTCTCGTAACGTCTTAGTTGGCGCCTTAGTTGGTGGCGGAAGTGCCGTAAATGGCATGTTCTTTGACCGCGGCAGCGTAGCTGACTATGATGCATGGGAGGCGCTCGGAAACAAAGGCTGGGGCTTCGAAGACCTCCTTCCATACTTTAAGAAATCTGTTACCTTCACGCCCCCAAGCAAAGAAGTAGCGGAGAAGTACAACTACACGTGGGACGAAGAGGCAGCGTATGGCGGGAATGGCGAGATCCAAGTCTCTTTCCCACCATTCCAGTTCCCAGGTCAGAATCGTGTGTGGAATGCGTGGAAGGAGAGTGGTATCCAGAAGCCCAAGGAAGCTGCTGCGGGGAACGCGCTTGGAGCGATTCTGGCACCTAGTGCGTTGGATCCCGTGACGAGGACGAGGAGTTATGCTCGGACTGCGCATTATGATCAATATGCCCAGAGGCCGAACTATCACCTTCTGACTGGATATCAAGCTACAGAGGTCTTGTTCAAGGAGGGTGGTGAGCTGGAGGCTGAGGGCTTGAACGTCGTCAAGGTGGGAAGCACTGAGAAGACGGTGGTGAAGGCGAGGAAAGAAGTCATCATTGCCGCAGGCGCGATATGGACGCCATGGTTGCTCCAGCGCAGTGGTATTGGTCCCAAAAGCATCCTCGACAAGGCAGGTATCGAAGTCAAGAAGCATCTGCCTGGCGTAGGCGCAAACTTCCAAGACCATCCCCTTGGAGGCAGTGTCTGGAACTGGACGAACAACCCTTACAACCCCAAATCTTCGGATCTGGCAACCAACCAAACATTTTACGCTGAAGCTGAGAAAGAGTACATCCAGTCGCGTGAAGGCCCTCTCACTTTATCACGAGGTAACCAAGCTGGCTTCCTACCCCTCAAGACCCTCGATCCAGAAGGCTGGCAAACGCTTGTAGATGCCGTCGCAGCTCAAGATCAAACTCCCTATCTCCCAGCCGAATATGACGAAACGCTTATCGCAGGTGCCAAAGCAGCACAAAAGCTCACGGCCGACCTTCTCGGACGCGAAGATGCTGCAGCCTATGAAGTCCTTTTCGGTGAAGGGCCTGTAGGTAGTGGCGTGTTGATGCGCCCCTTGAGTCGCGGCACCGTAAGTATCAATCCGGCAGATCTCTCATCAGGTCCATTGGTCGACTGGCGGACTTTCTCCAATCCCTTGGACGTCAAAGCCCTAGCTCGTATGGTGCCTTTCGCGCGCCGCTTTAACACCCTATCTTCGTTCTCTGGCCTAGATCCCGTTGAACTAACACCTGGTTTGAATGTTACGAGTGATGCTGCGATTGAGCGATACTTGCGCACTACAACGGCGCCAACCTTTGCTCATCCGGCGGGTACTGCGTCAATGCTTCCAAAGGAACATGGAGGTGTGGTGGATACGAATCTGAAGGTCTATGGTGTGGGGAAGTTGAGCGTGGTAGATGCAAGTGTGATGCCCTACCTGCCGGCGACGCATCTCTGTACAACTGTTTATGCTATCGCGGAGAAGGCTGCGGATGCCATCAAGGCGAGGACGGGTTGGAATGAGTAAGGGTTGGTGCAGTGTAAGAAGTGGTTATTGATGTGCTAAGGCACATCTCTCTGTGATGTTCCGATAATATCCTCGAAGTTCGACTGCAGAGTTGATGTATAAACACGCGTGCTTCTCTTGACGTGAAGTGCTGTATCAAACTATGTGAATTATCTCAAAATCTTGTCGTAGATTCTCATCAACAACGAATGTATTGTAAAAATTGTCGTCCGGGAAGAAATCCAGGTTCTTGACTTTCATAAAGCCAATTCTGCGATACTCATGTCTAACGGCATTGCTTTCAGTCAGGATAAGAGCTGACATCTCGCGATGTACTTCATCCCACGTCTCCACAAGGCAAGGCACGCACCAAGCTCCAAATCCACTAGAAAAAGACTGATGGGTACGAGAAGCCTGACCAGCGGTATCTTTCACTGCCAGAGAGCAAGTTTCGCCCATCTGGGGATCTTGATGTTGTCTTGACACGTCCTCGTATAGTTCCATCGAATCGAGATATACGTGTCCGACGAAGGACTTTGTCAGTGGGTCAAAAGCATAAACGCCCCAATGAAAATCGTCGCCTGTAGTTCCACCCGGGATATTAAACCATAAATTTGCTGAATGCGGTACCAACATTGCCCTTCGCATTCTTGTGCGGATAGTTAGTTTGGCGAACGTAATACAACCGAAAGCAGCAAGAGCTCCCGGAAGATGTGAGACCTCCAAACCAAGAACCTGTATTCCTCTTTCTGGGAGACATTCTCTACGAGCGGCGGTGAAGGAAATACTCCTGCCAGGCACCGAAGCCCAGGACCAAGTTGGCGCAAGGTACTCAAGAGATTCTTCGTCGGTGGACCCCACTTCGCTCGAATGAGTTCCAGTGTTCACCCACCAGCAGAGGCCAACTTGCAGGTCCTCCTTCCACAATCCGGCAGCATATGTAAGATCATAATTCTTTTGCATGAGCCTCGCCAAGCCTGCAATTGCAAGTAGTTTATCGGAATGAACACTCAGTTCTCTACGGCTGTAGGCGCGAACCATCTCATACCAGGTATCAAAATGGGTGTGTCGAAAGCCATCTGAGGAAGGCAACGATTTGTCGAAGAGGTCTGGACGCCGCACTATCGATCGCATCAAGTCGTTTGGCATCTCGAACAGCATCTCTTTGTCATTATGACTAATGTCAATTGAGTTTGATATGTTGAGTGTCGTACCACCTTCACACGTGTGAATTTCCATACAACGCCAATCGACCATACTGGGTCCAAAAGCGATTAAACGTCCAGACAACACCTCCTCTTGAAGGACCCATCCTCTTGAATTTAAAAAGTCGTAAGATGTATCTTTTCCCATCTTTATGGATATGTCGCCATGTAGAAGCTTGCTATCTCTTTTCAGCGTTATTAGAACGTTGCAGGCTTTACTTGTTCGAGCGTCGCGTTTAGAGAAGAGACCTGAGTCAGTGTTTGGACCGTTCGCTGCGAAGATGGTCACCGCCGACTGTCGATAGATGTCCCCCATTACAGCCATTTCGTTTCGTAGGTCTTCTGGATCGTCCTGAATGATGCATATTGCGTCAATCCATAGATAACGATATCCAAGCATCCTGGTAACTTGCAAAGCGTCCTTGAAGGTTTTAGGCATCGAGTTATCGAGTGGCAACTCTTTTTTGAATTGTTCATACGATCCGGACCCCTTTTTGCAAAGCAGCTTGCTTCCTTCACCCCAGCAATAACTCAGTGTTAAGTAGTCGGCTCGAATCCCAGTAGTTTCTACCAGACAAGGCTGACCCGGCGCTTCGACGTCAACAACTCTGGTAGGGAGTAAAGGCAATGCCTGTGGTGCAGCCTCCATCCTACAATAGTGGTGCTTTTCCAGACATTTCCGTAGCCATGTCTTTATCAAATCCATGTTGAGATTAGACCCTGTGTGATTGTCCGCTGCTGAACCGATCGGACTGCTTCCGCCTTCGTGATCTGGCGAGAGGACGCAGGAACGATCTAGAGCGGCACTCACATCATCTGCACTACAGATCAGATAGAACCCTACACATGCTCAACTTACATACCAGGGATAGGCCTGTCCATCTCAAGCCAACATCTTCTCTCCCCACAGTAGATACGTAGATAGCCAAACATCCTATCGCGAAAATCAAGGTCTTCGTCCATGTTCCAGGAACTATTGCCTTTTACGATAATGAGAACTTGTGTGTTGCCGTCATCATTGTCAGGATGCGCAGGAGTATATTCCGTCGTCTGGAACAGTCGAAACCAGGAAAGGGCACACAATCGACATCCACGACTAGCCGAGATTTCCAGTGCTTTCTGAGAAGGTTGATGCACACTCACTAGGATTGCAAGAGGATCGATTTCATATCGAAAGAGCTCTGACCACTCGACACCTGGGAGGTTGAGCTCCCCTGCAGGCGAAAAAACGAGGTTTTGACAAAATTGGCACAGCATCGCATAGGGTGGTTGGAATCAGAACATTCAGCAGACGAATATGTGGCGATGGAAAGCAGGTCAGCTTTTTGGTTGGAGGAGTAGCGCCAAAGAACGTCAAATGCTGCACAGGGCAGGTCACGCTGTTGAAGGAAAAAACGAGACAACAGCAGGAAAATATCATCCCCGAGAGTGCTGCGTAACACAACAGCAGAGTAAAGAAGGTTCAAAACAGTAACCATCCGTAGAACCTATATAACAGAGTACTCTTGTATGGTTTTTTCCTTACTTTGATTGCTGTGATTGTAATGTTGTAGGGGTAAGATGGCAGCAAGGGCGAACCACCAATGACATCCTATCTAGCAGATTTGACCCGTTGCATCCCTGACCAGACCTTGCGTGTTTTTGTTTGTCAAGTATCGCTGCTACACCATGAGAAGAACCCAACGTATGTTGAATCTTGTGTTTTGTTTGCATTTATAGGCCGTAAATTCTATAGGGTATCATATTCGCCAACCATTCACTTGGCCGTATTATACGCCGCACAATGTAATCTGCTGTCCATACCAGGACATGCTATTCTCGGCTTACTCCTGGCCCCAAGTATCATCATCGCCAATCTCTCCAACAATCTCCACACCCTGCTCTTCCTGGAAGGCGACCTGCTTGTTCTTCCCCCTCTTCTTCTTTCCCTTGCCATTCTCCTTGTTTGTTCCATCACCCAGCGGGTTACCATCTGCATCAACGCCGGCAATCTCACGTTGCCGTTTCCTCTCTTGGGCTTCTGCTTGTGCAGCAGCGATTTTCTCTCGCATCTCCGCCTCGTGTTCGGCCAATTCGCGCTTGATCTTATCTGCGTCTGCGAAAGACTCTTCCGTCTTCTCCGACTCCATCAAGAACTTGTCCCATCCGCCTTCGTTGATCTTGCATCTTCCTTGGAGAGCTTCCCTCACACGGTCCGGGTTTTCACGCTCTTCGCGGGTGAACTTGGTCTTGATGGAGCGCCGTGTGAAACCTGGAAACATCTGGGATATCATCTGAAAGTCTGTACCAAAAGACTCGAGGGCCTCGTAGAATTTCTTTGTGAGGACATCGTTCCAACGTCGGCCCTGGCCAGGCAGAAGGAACTCATTAGGGAAGCGCTTGTTGTTTTTCATGAAGCTACGGGTTGTGAGACGTGCAGTGATATCTTGGTCTTCTGTGACAACCATTTCGTTGATGATGCGGTCTGCGTCACCCTCTCGATCGATTACCCCAGAGTCAGGTACTAGTTCCATGACGCCGTCTGCATTCAAGCGTAATCTAGGACCCTGCTCGACTTGTGCAGCCGCCAGCTCTGCCCCCGCAGCAGCCAGGGCTGCGTCGGCCTTCTCTTGTTCCTCCCTCGAGATGACCTTTTTGTTGTCTTCCTCTCTTCGACGTTGCTTGACTGCATCCCAGTCAATGGTACGCATCTGCTTCTCAAGCGCAGACAGTTTTCCAATGCGAACAGTCCGAGCTGCTAGAGAATCCATGTAAGTGACATCAGGGTCGATGGTCTGGTCTTCGGCATCGGATGGCGTGGGCTCTCGTGGCGGTCTTCCCTTCCGTTTCTTTTCTTTCCTTGTGCCTTCTTCACCTTCAATACCATCGACTTCGTCGCCTTCAGGAGTGGCCTTCCTCCTTCTCTTTGCTTTTGGCTTGCGACGCGTGGCTGCCGCCACGATGTCATCGGCTATGCGCCCGACCTCGTCTTCTGTGCCTTGGACAATCTCGCTGCTTAGGGCTTCCCGAGGCTTTCTTGGCTTTCTGGCTTTCTTCGGTGGGGCAGGGACTCCCTCGCCGTCCTGGGCGGTAGCTTCGGTGGCCTTTTTCTTCGCACGGGGTTTGGCAGCGGGTCGCTTCCGGGTGGGCTGAGCCTCTTCCTCGTCTCCATCTTCCTGTGCGACGTGGTCTGCATCCGGATCTGCTGTAACGTTCTTCTTTGCTCGCGGCTTCGGCGGCTGGCGAGGCTTCCGGGTTGGCTCCGCAGCAGCAGCGTCCTCTTCGCCCTCTGGGGGGTGGTTCACCGCTGCCCAAGGAAGCGTCCTCCTCTTTCGCGGTTGTGGAAGAGCCTGTGCATCTGCAGTTGAGGCTTCGAGATTGGGGTCGATGTTTTGTTCTCCACCATCATATGCTGATGCTGGTGCTGGCGTATCGACTGTAGCCTCGACCTCTGGCTCCTCTATGCGACGTCTCTTAGGTGACCTACCATCGCTTCCCGCATCCTCCAAGTATTGAGTGGTGAGACCTGGGTCTGTCGAGGACGGTACAGCAACGTGAGACTCACTAGCTGCTTGTGTCTGAGTCTCTGTACTTGCAGGCGCTGGGGTGGGGAGGGGTTCGGTGGGGGTCGGGGTCGGGGTTGGCTGTGGAAGCGCTGTTGAGGATTCGGCTGTACTCGGGGCGGGTTGAGAAGCAGTCTCTGCTGCGGGTTCCTGGGTGGCAGCTGGTGTGGGCAACTGTAGGACATTCGGAGCTTCAGTGACGGGCGCATGCGAGGTCTCGAGTTGAGTCTGTGAAGTTTGCGATTCGGCAGTCGCCGCCGGTGTCTCTGGCGCAGCAGAAGGCGTGGGGGTTGGGGCAGGAGCAGGAGCAGGAGCAGCGGCGCCAGGTCTCCGTCGTGCGGCTTTGGGTGCAAATTTCTTGCCTGTCGTGTTTTCTGACCGCGGCTCAGCATAGATAGCGGGCAGACTTGGGGCAACTCACTATTGATGAAGGAACTGAAAGTCGCCGCCGCCGGTTTTGGCGCAGGTGCAGACGCAGGCGCTTTGTCGCCGCCTGAAGCGTCCTCGGCAGACATGGTGTATGTGTGTATGAAGGCAGCGTATGGCTGCTGTCCACTCTTTCTCACATTGGTGGGGATTGTACAGGACGGAACATGGTCGCGTCGTGGAAACACAGACCAGGTGCTAGCGCGACACTAGCTCTTGGCAGCCCAGCCAGCAGCTAACGAACTCTCTTCGCTCGACTCTCCTCACCCACCCTCTCTCTGGCCTCACACGACACCCGACCTCCTCCCGTTTCTCTTCGCCCGCCCGCCCCCCTGCCTGTCCTCCATCCGCTCTAACATCTCCTTTCATGACCCGATAGAGCGCGCGCGTCTTCGCTGCCCTATCTACGACACCCGTGTCTCCTCGATGAGGCTCGAAGCCAGGACCGTCGCACCCCCATCGCTTGACGCTGTCAAGATGGAGGACCGAAAACGGCCCATCGCCGACGATCAAGCTCCTCCCGCTAAGAGGCAAGCCGTGACTGTCAACGGTGCTCGCTCCCACCCAGACGCTGACTTGCCGTGGAAAGATGACATCGAGGTTCGCCCCCCGATTACCTCCCGCCCTCCTCCTACGCCCTCGGCGCACACTCCCGCTGACTCTTCGAATCTACAGTCTTTCCAGAAGGATGCCATTCTCAGGCAGATGCGCGAGTTCAAACGCGAAAAGGCCACCGTCGAGTCACAACTAAACGAGTTGGAGGGCCGTTCCAAGTACCACGATGACCACCTACGCATAATCGACGCTTGGTTTGATCAGGTCAGTACACCCCTGGAATTTGATTGAGATGATGCTAATTGCTGCTTAGCTTGTCGATGAAATCAAACTCTTGGGCGGTGATAAACTGCCTGCATCATCAGCTCAGGCCGATGCTATCCAGGCTGTGCCCGCTGCGCTCTTGTGCCAGGACAATCAGACTTTTAAGAAACACCTGTCTGATCGCAAAGACAAGATACTCGCATCGCTTACCGACCTCTTTGCGAGATATCCCGCAAGCAGTCCCGAGGTTGCGACTCTCCAACAGAAGCTGTCAGAACTCTTGGTCACCGAGAAGGATCATGTTGTGCGCCTGCAACGCGTCACTACCGAGAAAGAGCAATTATCTGACCGCCTGGATACCGCTACTCATCGTTATCTGGTTGCTGAGAAGAAGCTCGACCGGCTTAAGAGCGCCCAGGTTCAGAAACTCGAGCAATCAGCGGTCGGCACTAGTGCGGCTGTGAAAGAGGAGGCACCATCTGCCAGCAATGGAACAGAAGCCACCAATGGTACCTCGCCAGGCCCCATCAGTGAAGAGTTGGAAACAGCGAAAAAACAGGCTCTAGCTGAGGCAGCCAAGAGGAAAGAGCAACTTGAACAGATCGAGCAGGAGAACAAAAAGCTCACCGAGGAGGTTTCAGCACTGAAAGTGAAGCTTACCGGCCTGTCGGACGATGATTATGCGAAGACCGATCTTTTCAAAGCTATCAAGAACCAGCATGAAGACGTGATCAAGCGCATCAATAATCTTGAAGCCACCAACATCACCTTGCGGGAAGAAGCGCAGAAATTCCAGGCAGAGCGAACGGCGTACATGATCAAAGTGGATGACGAGGTTCGTGCTAGTCTGGCAGACAGTGCAAGCCACGTTTCGCAAGCGGAAGCGAATTGTGCTCGCATTCGAAACGCCCGGGATGAACTTGTGACCAAGAACAACGTCTTGGAAGCCAGCCACAAAGATTCCAAGGAATCCATTGAGCAGTCCAAACAGCTCGTGAGCGCATGCGATAGCCGCATCGCGGCGCTGGAATCCGAATGCGAGCGACTGCGACTACAGATTGCGGAACAGCAAAGCTCAGAAGGCCAGGAATCCTCTGGACTGGAAGACTTGACACCGGAGCAGTTGCGTAACAAGATCGCCAAGCTCGAAAGCCAATGCAAGATTTTGGGCAACGAGCTTCCCTCTATGGAGTCCGCATGGAAGAAGGCGCAGGCGATTGCAAGCAAGAAGATCACCGAGATCGCTGCTTGGGAAGAAAACATTGCCAAGGCACATGCAGACAAAGCCAAAGCGGATCAGAAGTTCTTTGCGGCCATGAAGACCAAAGGAGAATTGGAACAGCAGACTCGCATCCTCCGCGCCCAGGCTACCAAAGCCACTGAAGTAGTGGCGCAGCTGAAAGAGGCGGATTCACTCAGCCGGTCACTGGTGGACAAACTAGAGAAGCAGTGCGCCGAAATGCGATCCCAAATGGACGATCTTTCTACCCAGCACCGCCAACTGCAACAGAAGGTCAGCGAGAACGCCATCACTTCCGAAGGTCATGTCAGCCAGATAGCGGAACTAAAGAAGGTTGTCGAAGCCAAGGATGCGACATGCCTTGCGGCAAAACACGCTCAACGCGAATCGGAAACCGAGCGGGACAAGCTGGCTGCTCAAGTCACTGGACTGGAGAAGCAAGTGCAGATTTACAAGAAGAAGAGCACCGCTAACCAGAGCTCTGAAGTGTCGACTATGGAGCTGTTGATTCAGTGTCAGATTTGCAAGAGCAAACTCAAGAACACGGTCATCAAGACTTGCGGGCACATGTTCTGCGACCAATGCGTACAAGATCGACTGACCAACCGCGCGAGGAAGTGCCCGAATTGCGGCAAGGCGTTTGGCAGCAACGACACGATGCGTGTGCATCTATGAGAACTTTTCAAGCCGGATACCCTTTTTCATATTCTCTGCATTTTGCCCCCATGTACATCACCTGCGTTTCCTTGCGCCCCCTTTTTTACAAGTTCACAATATAGTTGAAGGCAAATTTTGAAGTTAAGCACGGAACCGAGTTTGGGATACGTTGGTGTTTTGCGGACGGCTTTCAGCCTATTTCATGGCGTTGGTATTCGGCAGCGCAAGAGCGCGAGACAATGTACGATCATAGTTGCGGAGCATGTTCGGACGACATGTGTTAGCGTGTTTTACTAGATTCACGGAGTTTGTCTGTCGGTTGGCTGGCGATATTTTCCATGGATGGGGTTAGATGGCTTCCATGGGCCTCGCGGAGCTCGGTCGCTGGAGCGGCCAAATGAGAGAATGCAAATCCAGATACCATGTACTGTTTGGCCATATAGTGACCCGATATAACCTTTGACTCACACATGGCAGTGGGCGGCCACCTTGGACCGGTACACTAGCGAGAACGTTAAGTGACAGCCAACCATGTTTGAGCCGTCATTTCAAAGTGGAAGGTAAGACCAGGTGCAGGGTCTGTCAGAGTAGGGGTGCAGCCCTGGGCCATGACGTTCGCAACGCGTTCCTCGCCGTTGCCCCACGCGACAGGCTACTATAAACACCCTTGAACATGACTACTGTGACCACCACGACGACATATATCAAGCCCCGTCCAGACCTTACTCTCCAACGCAAACTACAACATCTCCGGCCTTTCAATACTTCCCAAAGACGATTGAATCTGAAAACTTTTGACCAACATACACGCCTTCTACATCCACGACTACCCCACAATAATGGCCTCCAAAGTCCTCACTCCTCGCGACACCAACGCGCAAGTCAAGCCCGTGCCTTCACCAGAGAAGGGATTGGAGAAGAAGGATGCCAAAAGTCTCGACTACCACCGCCGAGTTCTGCAGTCGCGTCTTGACAGCGAGCCGTGAGTTTCCTTGTACATGCAGCACCACACCTTGCATTGTTGACCATGTATCAGAGAGCAAAAGTTTGTTTCGCCGTCAGACGAAATCATGAGCCCCGCTACACAGAAGTTGCAGGCTTTCAAGACCAAACATGCCATGAAGAAGTAAGTTACTTTGTGACTGTATACAAAAAGAACGTAGACTAATGTGAGCATAGGTCGAAGCCACAGACGCTGTTTAAGAAGACAAGCTCGAAGAACTTGGAGTCAAACAAGGGCAGCGGCACATTGATGTTCGCTGATATCCCCAAGAAGGATGCGAAGGAGGAGGGCGCATAGGCATGACGTTACAATCACGCTTGCCTAGAAGGTGGAGCATTGGTTTTATTCTTTGGCGCAACGGCTTCACGTATACCCCCTTCTATGGCTTTGATTGGCCGGTCTTCCTGGAGTTCTGGATGCGGGTAAATGACTACGATTATCATGACTATATATTTTGATGCTACGAAATGGAATGGAACAACAATGAGATATATGCCTGCTTTCAGACTAGACTTGATGCATGTGTAAAGACTATGCATGCGCCCAAATGGATACTCGTCTATGTTCGGAAATGTCGCCGAGCCGCAGGTTGTACCCTACAGTAGCTGCGTCTTCGCTCCGACTCACACGATGACACAACCGTCTTCAGATGAGAAAGCCCTCCAGGAGGAGATTGAAGATCTTGAAAGACGTTTACACAATGCGAAAGCCCGACTGAATCCAGACAATGTCCCAGCGACACATTCATCGCCCGCCAACGACGCAGGTCCGTTATCGCGGCACACCTGCCACCACAGCTGTTAACATGCGCAGCACTGCACGCTCTTCTTCTGCTCGCAGACTCTGCCCTGCCACTCGGCTCTTTCGCCTTTAGCAGCGGACTAGAGTCGTACCTCGCCCATCACAAGCCGTCGCCGCCGTCGGCGTCACAGCTACCCGCGTTCCACACTTTCCTCCGCTTATCGCTTTCGACCCTCGCAAGCACATCGCTCCCCTACGTCCTGGCCGGCTACCGCCACCCAGAGGACATTGAGACGTTGGACAATGACTTCGACGCGAGTACACCGTGCACTGTTGCGCGACGGGCGAGCATAGCACAGGGGCGCGCGTTACTTGCAGTTTGGGACCGCAGCTTTCGGACGCAGTACAACACGCCTAAGGACCACGCGTCTCAAGATGCTATGCATGGAACAATGAGTAGCGAAGCGGCTATCAGCGCGCTCAAGTCGTTTTCCGCTGCCCTGCGTACTTCGGAACTCATCAACGTGCATCTCGCGCCGCTTTGGGGACTTGTTACTAGCATTCTGGCCGTTCCGCTGCAACAAGCCGCCTACTTGTTCCTCTTCTCACATGCGCGGACTGTAGTGAGTGCCGCTGTGAGGGCGAGCGTTATGGGCCCTTACCAAGCGCAAGCGGTACTGGCAAGCGCCGAGCTGCAGGACAGGATACGTGGGCTGGTTGATGAGGGGTGGGACAAGACAGTCCAAGATGCGGGGCAGAGTGTGCCAGTCATGGATCTTTGGGTTGGAAGACATGAGAAGCTGTATTCTAGGATCTTCAACTCATAAAGACCTGTCGAGATGGTGTTGAGCTAAATGTTGATTTCAGCCACTCGTGGTCCAATCATCACCGCGTGCGCCCTCGATTCGCGCATGAAGAGTTCAGCTTACGGCGCGTGACGGCCGCGCTCCACCGGCACGACAAGGCAACAACGACAAGAAGAACCTCTTGATATGTTTGCCGTCCACATGCATCATTGTCATACTGCTTAATGATACCCTCGTAGGGACTCGCATCCTACATTCTACTCAAACTATACACGTTCCTAGTGCTGGCACCATGTTTATTCTTGACTTCAACAAGTGGCTCTTAGTTACCATCTTTCCCGATTTCTTCAATAGTGCAGTACAATCTCGTGTTAACGAGACTGTCCTCAAATTCCCATGGATCCAACGCTTCGCCTCAGTAGGCGACTCCTACTCCGCCGGTCTCGGGTCAGGAGACCGCCTCGACTGGCTATGCTCGAGATATGCACAATCATATCCAAACATCCTTCAAACCTCTCTCCTCGGTGATAACCCTAACCGAACACACCAGTTCCTCGCTTGCTCTGGCGCTACAAGCACCGAGATCCTCGAAAAGCAGATTCCTGCTTTGCAGGATAACCTAGACTTGCTCACTATGTCCGCCGGCGGAAACGATATCGGGCTAACACCTATACTGAGTAACTGCGTATACCAGTTCTACATGTCAGCCGAAGACTCATGCCGACAAGCCATTGATGAAGCGCGCACGAAGATCGCGAATGAAACGGAACTCTATCATAACGTGACACTGCTCATTGAAGCTGCGAAGCCGAAGATGAATCTAGAACATGGCATTATCTATTACACAGGCTACGCAGGCTTTTTCGGCACTGATGACGAAACATGCGACAACGTAACCTGGGCCGTCTGGAAAGACGTGGAATGGACGAAACAATATCTCAAACGCGAATTGAGATTGGAACTGAACGATATGGTCCACAACGTCAACACCATACTATCCAAAGCTGTAAAAGATGCCGGCCCAAATGTCCGTTTCATAGACTATGACGCCCACATCTCTGCAGCACGCGGTCGGTACTGCGAAAAAGACGTCCTAGAACCTGATCCCAATCGCCTCGGTTTGGCATTCTACGAGTGGAACACCGTCGATACAGGCGAGAATAAGACTGCACTACAGAACCGCACTGGCGACGATGTACCTAAACACTCATTCCAGGGCGGCATCGCGAGGGATATCAATAAGACGCTCGAGCAGCATCCTGACTGGACATTTAACCCTGACAAGGGATTTGTGAACAAGACGAAAGGAGGAAAAGACGGAGGAATAGAAAAAGAAGGATGGTTGGGCGATTCGATCCATTGGTTGTTGCCGGATAGCTATAAGAGAGTTTTCCATCTGAGACCAAAGGGACATGCGATAGTGGCGAGGTTGGTGGTTGAGGATTTGGAGAGGCATGGGCCACGGCCTCAAGAGGGAGAGGTGGAGGAACTCTAAATCTCATCTTTCTGGGACTTCAGCACCAGCAGACCATTCGAAAGCCTCCTCATCGCCTAGCAGTCCGTCCCACTCCCAGTCCTCATTCCCTCCCATGTCCCTTTCTGCCATCTTTTTGTCAATTTCCACAATCCTATCTCTTACATCCATCAAACACCTCCCTAACAGATTCTCTCCCCAAGAATCTCTGTACGTTTCTGCTTCATCTGATCTGTATCCGATCCCCCAGATACGATCTCTCCGAGCTGCTTCTGCTATTTCTCTTCCTTGTGTCCCTAGCAAGACACTCCTCATATGTTTATTCTTAGTATCCGTATACTTGTACCAATTCCCCACTCTAGCAACCCTACTTTTCACTCTTCCCCATTCATCGAAATCGAAGTTCTTGACCTTCTGACCATGCTTCTTTTGTTCTTTAGGGTCTGAAGTCAAGAGGATAAGACGGGCAGTGTTGGCGTCCGAGAAATAGACGGCTTTACAGAACATGTAGGATTGCTCGGCGCAAGTAAATAGTATGGTTGAGTTTGATACGGTGTGAGTAGAGAGGATAGTCGAGGATTCTGTAGACGTTGTTCGTATAGAGGTTGTGAGATTTAGAATCAACGAAGACGCAGTTCGAGGTGTTGGTGGTGAAGGCGCCATGTCAACGAGCCACTGCAGTGAGGCGATGGGTATGCTGAACGGGCTGGTATGCCATTGGCAAAAAACACCGTACGGCTTTTCCTTAGGCATGTAGAAGAATATCGTTCCTTGCACTTCTTCTCCTCTTGCAGCTACACTCTTCTTTGCGGGTCGACCTGAAGGGTAGGGTTTGCGCTTACCCATTCTGTCTGCTGAGTATGTATTCGTGTTCCTTGGTGAACATGAAATAGAGGTGTCTCTGTTTCTGGAACATAGGTGGTAGAGGACATGGCGATGAGTCTTAATAATGCATGAGCTAGTAGTACCATGGTTTAGAAAGGGTGCAAGGGCGACCTACCTTGCTTTGATCTGTCTGGGAATTTTATGATGAAAATGTTTTAACTAAGGGCTACTTAGTAGATTTTTCTGAGCAGCGCGGACGAGATAATAGTCATTGTCTTGTTGAACGCTATGTCGTTCGATCCATAGCTTTTTATGACAAATGCGACATCTGCGTTCAGTCTCATGTCAAGATACGAATCTATACATACTTTTGACTGTTTCTCTGGATAGTATTCCTATTCACATAAACTAAATGTAGACAAGCCTTATTTAAAGTCTGTAATTCACAGTTCAACTTTTCTTCCTGAGATCCTCACCAATCTTCCTAAACAGTCTCGCAAAACTCCCTCGGGTCTCCCAGATTGGCAACAGACAACTAATCGCACTACTGGCAAATACCCAAATAAAGCTTACTACCACCCATGCAGTGAAGAAGCCCTGAGAGAAGATGTAGTGCGAGAAGAACATGGGCATGGGGAGAAGGAAGTCCAAGATGAAGGTCAACAGGAATGCGGAGATACAGGCGAGCTTGAAAGCACGACGGAGTGTGGAAGGGTCGTCTTCCTCCTCTAGTGGGGGAGCTAGATGATGTGGAAGCTCTGCTGCGGCTGCTTCGGGTTGTGTGGTGGCATCGGCTGCAATCTTCTTTTCGCCAGCATCAGAGAGTTCGGGTGTGGAAGCATCTCTCGGCGTTGCAGCGTTATCTACTCCATCTGTAACGACGGCGTTGATAGCACGAGTGATTTCCCAGTCGAAATTGTCCGGCTTGATCAAAGTGATTGTGGTTGTTACAATGAGTCCGGTCATGATCGCTGCCAGATTGCCTGCGAGCGTTGGATATGACATGCCAGTAGTCTCTACAGTGATCTCGCCGTAATAACTCTTTGCAGTCGCTAACCATGCAGTGAGACCTGCGGCAAGACCAGAGAGACAACCAGATATAGCGGCAACTTTGCTTTGTTTCCGCCATGTTATGGCGAAGGCGGTCGGGAACACAGCGCCACCGATTAGCAAACCCATAACGCTTCAACATGTTAGTAAAGATGATATAGTAGCCATGAGATAGGGGAAAACGTACAGGAAAAGCCATCCAAGATCGATCGATGCCGCATTCCAGATGCAGGCGAACACAGACATGATCAATCCGAAAACGCATATCATAATGTGCGAAACGAAGACCAACTGCTTTGGTGAAGCTTTGGGCGAAACGTATTCCTTGTAAACGTCGAATGTCAGCAACGAAGAAACGGCGATGAGTTCTGCAGACGCGCATGACGTGACTGCCATGAAGAGAACCACCAGCAGTGCAACAGCACCTCCCTGTCCCATCAATGTCTCCGCAGCGAAGGCCGCCGCTAGACCGGATGAGATTTGGCCAGAGGTAGGTACCTCTGGGTAAGTGGGAAAGCGTGGATTATCGGTGAGCGCCACAGCTGCAAGACCAAGCGTTGTCGAAAAGCCGAATGGGATAGCGAACCAGGCAATCCCTCCTAGGAGATACGCCCGTACGGCAGTAGAAGGTTTGGAGGCGATCGCACGCTGCCAGTAGGCTTGATCAAGGAAAACGGTTCCAGATCCAGAGCATAATTGGATGACACCGAATATTAAGCCAAAGTTCGACTTCAAAGTGACGTATGAGCCGTCCTGATTCCCACTGACTGGGCGTTGGGTCCCAGCTTTTTTGAGCAGCTCGTACATCTCGCTGGGTGAGCCGATTAGAGGGCTGATAGCGTATGCGTTGAACATAAAATAGAGGATGATGATCATAAGGATCAAGGTGTGGCTGTAGTCGCAGATAAAAGTCGCTCGCAGACCACCGAGGATAACGTAGGCACAGACACCTGTCTCTGTTAGCACATCTCCGGAATAGACTTCTCAGACATTACTCACCAACTGGAATCAAGAATACAGCAGCATACACCGGCATGCCCGTCAAGCTAGTGACGACTGCACTTCCGCCCAACAAGAGCTGGCTGCCCACCAAAATGTTCGTCACAAACGCGAAGACCATAAACACTAGATGTGCAACCGTCCCGTATCTCGCTTTTACGATTTCAAGGTATGTATGACATCTCGGCGCATTCTGCTTGACCTTGCAAGCCAGGATCGAGAACATGAGAATCTGAACTGTAGCCCCAGCAGCGTACCTGCAGATTTGAAGATACGAAGTCAGTGTATGTCTCACATGCATTTCGTATAGGCAAAACTTACCAGAACGGTCCTGCGACCCCATATTGGTATGCTACGGTAGAGGATTGGAGCAGAGTGGCAGCCCAGGTCCATGCAGAAACGATACCAGAAGCGATGAGACCGGGTTTGACTGAGCGCGACGCAGTGTTGAACTCTTCGGATGATTGTGTTGAGTAGCGTGTGTATCTATTTTGGAGCCACGAGATTCCCATCATGAGAAAAGCGAAGAAGAAGCCGATGCCAACGACGACGCCTGGAAGGTTCAGCTGTGATCATTGGGTGAAATTGTAGGGAACGTACCATAGCCGGCTCCCACTGGGAGAGGTATCTTGGTCGTGTCTGCCATTGTGAAGGCTTCAACAAGTGGATGTAGAGGCTGGAAAACTCCTCAGGTTCTCTGTTTCTAGGAAAGCGATTATATTAACATATTCTCTACAGCCATACCGACTCCAAATACCGACCAGGGTCTGTAGAGATACTGCCATTATACTCGAGGAGCAGTTCGCCGCCTACGGCGTTTCCGCGGCGATAGTACAACATGATGCTCAACCTCGATTGGTGTGATAGGCAAAACGGGTTGCAAAATAGTAGTTGCAGCGACGATCCAACGGTACGACATGGGCGCCTCGTGCGATAAGCCAGAATCGAGAAATCTCCGCATGTACGAGACCATGACGGATAGTCTGTCCAATTAGATTGCCTAGCTGTGCGGCGTACTTGGGCTGCGTGAAACGCTTCCAACGCGACGACGTCTCCGATAACTGTTCGTCAAGTCGAGATAAGAAACATGCTAGCAGTAGGCCTGCCGCTGAGATGCTTGTTGCTAAGGCCGTGATGTCATGTTTGAGGTAGGGATGCAGCTGCCGAAAGCGGCACGTCGAGCAATTGATAAACCCCCTGCTCGGTTAGCAATCTACCCCGCGAACGACGAATCGCTGGGGTGAAAGTTGGAGCTACTTAACAGCTCCAATTGGAGTCAGATAAGTAGATTTGGAGAGCGTGAACTTAATATTTCCAGGCGATGTCAATGAATAGTGGTGTAAATCTGTATCCCGTTACTTCGGTACATGTGACAATATTCAGCATTTCGACGTCGTTGGTTAGTCCCATAATGAATAGCTTCAGCTCCTCATGTCTCGTCCATATCTCGAGCGCACCGTTCCTGCAGCTACTGTAGCGCTCTTAGGAAGCTTCAATGCCGTCAAGCTCACTGACAGCTTGCTGGAACGCTGCCGCTGCTACAAGCCAGATGCCTTTGTCTCCAGAACCGAACCGGGATTGCATGGCCTCTTGACTCCCTTGGAAAGATCCCCGAAAATCGCCGCGTAGTTGTATAGTATATGCATTCTACCCAGGACAAGAACGCCCGACTCGAGAGGACGCACATTGAATCCGACTACCCGTTCTTACCATGCGGACTTCTGCTGCCTGGCTTTCTCCGGGTCATGGATACACCTGATATCTCCCACACCCCGAACCGGCCACGCAGTCCTCTGACCTACACTCTTCTTCCTCGTAAAGGTGGATCGCTTGATCTTACGGAGAACATTATCTTTATTGGAGGCAATAGCCTAGTGATGCAGTATTGCGATGCTAACTAGACCACTAGAATGTTTTGTGAGATCCGAGACGAGCGCTTGGGCTTAGACCAATGAAATCAAGACGAACAGGAAGAATGCATGTGGGTGAGAGTTTATCAATCTGCAGGTGAGGCTGAGACATGTGTCAAGATATCGTCTTTGAGTCATGATGTGCTACCATGACTTCTTGTTCGTATGGTTGAGGGGAAACAGCTTCAGCTATCAGGCTCATACTCGAGAGAGCCGGCATATTTGAGTTTCCGTACGTACCGTACATACTGGAGGACGTTGTACACGCCAGGCTGAAGATATGTAGGTTGCTAAGACAACACGGCGTTTATTTAGGGCTGACCTGATTGTAAAGTAAGGATGGTTAGAAAGTACGGGCGTGCTGACTACAATCGGTGTGCTGAGTCGATAGTTTTTCTTCTTTACTGCAGTTGTTGTAAGATGGCATAGCTATGCGGATAACCACGCATAAGCGTGAGAGGCCGCCTTTTGACCCAAGCGGTTATTCGCCGGAAGTAATCCCATGGCCACTCAAGTACATCAACTCGATAGGACCCTTCAACGCCGCACAATGCCGCTGAAAAACGGATGGTATACCGCTTCGCCCATTCTCTTAGCTCTTCGCTCCCGCAGTCCGGATCTGGAACGTAGCTCCGGGCAGCGCAGCACTCTCTGCCGTGACTGTCGCTTGTATGCCCAAGCTTGCAAGACAGCCTCTTATCAGACCAGCTGGGAAGTACAGGAATGGCTGAACCCTGGCCTGGCTATTCGCGTCCCGACCTAGCGCTACATCGCCTGTTTGTGCTACTAGTGCTGCTTGCATGGTGGCGTCATATTTCTTTGTATCAAACGACATGCGGCCGAGGGGTTTGAAGGTATTGTCCGTGAGGACGTAGATGCCACGGTGATTGGTTTTGAGGTTATCAATCTGCTTTCTAAAGAGGAGCGTCCAGAGATCTTTGCACAGAAATTTGATGCAGTCGAGAGGTGTAGTTGGTCGAGGTGCGTCTCGGGAGAATCTGTGTCGAACGTTAGCAAGGATCTTGAGAGCCCAAGTATGACTTGAGGGACGGATGTACCGTTCAACCACACCCAATCCGACCCTGTACCCCAAGTTCTCTAGTCGATGGAAAACAGCTTCTCTTGCTTCTTCCTCGTCCACTGTTGCAGTGCCTCCTCCCCCCACCGGCCCGCCATCTGTTCCTCTTGCTGTGCCTGCTGCCGTGCTTGACGCGTCGTTGCTTGTGCCCGACAATCGTTTTGGCTTTGTGGCCGACGATCCATGAATCCACTCCTCTTCTCGTGCGGCGAGATCAGCTGTTATGCGATATGCCATAGGTACAAGCTCTATGAGTAAGAGATCGAGACACGATGTGTTCACTAGTGAGAACGTGGGGTCGACATAGGATGTGGAGGGCTCGTTCGGTGCAGAGGGATTGGCTTGCGCCATGTTGAAGAGTGGTTTGCGTGTTTATGCGCTCAGACGAGTAATAGGGTAGCTTGGTCCACGGGTGATGGTGGGAGTAGGTTCGGTGCGCGAAGAAGATGCGCGCGCTTCGATGTAAAGCGGGCTACAACGGCGGCTCGGATATATGCGGTAGTTCAGTTTTCGCTAATATCTAGGTGTTTGTTCGTAGGTCAACAGGTTGTGATTACAGCCTGGGCGAAGTGTGGGGGTCTATTGCGGTGTGCTGGTGTTGGAGTTCAGACGTGCACGCGGGTTGCTTAGAGCCGCGGTCGATCAATTGCAAGGGTTCGTCATGTCATGTCTCGACAAGCGCCATGAATGCTTATCAACATCACCGCACGTTCCGGGTAGGATTCAGATAGGCAATGCATATCACTTTGATACCTCATAGTATGGTATCGTCAAATCATTCATATTTTTGCTCAGATTGGCGTGGATCCACGCACATACCAAGGCATGTTCTCGTGGTGTCATCTCTCATTCGCTTCATGGCGGCTTATAATCTATCTGCGGACGGCGCACATGAGCTTGCAGTCAAGTGGTACCGATATCCGAGTATACTCACTTGGCGGGAGGGTTCGCGACGAACTCGACGCCCTTGCTGATGTTGCCCTTCAAGCCGTCGTAGCAGGCCTGGAGAAGCTTCTTCTCTGCATCGTTGGCGCTGCTAACGACATCAATGGCCTTCTCGGCACCTCCGGCCTGTCGAGAGAATTAGCTATCTTACGGACACAAGCTGGAATTAAAGATTTCGTGTCTACTTACACCAAGCTCAATGGGGACGGAGAAGAAGTCAAGACCAGTGGCCTTGGCAATGGCATCTCCACCCTCGACACCAGGGAGGTAGACGTAGCTGGGCTCGACAATACCCTTCTCGCCCTTGGAGGCCTTGATGACCTTCTCGGCGAAGCTGTCCGTCGTTAGCTAGAGCATGGAAGACTTTGCAAATGAAACCTACCGGTATCCAGCGTAAGCCATGGAAAGAGTGGCTGAGCCAGCGCCCTCCTTTGCCTTGACGACCTCGTCACCACCGAATTGAACACGGTTTACAAGAGCATCCATCTTGTCAGCGGGGATGTTGACACTCGGCTTTGACTGGCTGAAAAGAGGAACAATGGTCTCTCCTGAGTGACCACCAATGACCGGGATGTTCAGGTTTCCAGGGTTCTTCTCGCCAGTAATCTCAGCGACAAAGGTCTCGGCACGGACAACATCAAGGGTGGTGACACCGAAGAGTCTCTTGGGATCGAATACACCAGCCTTCTTGAGGACCTCGGCGGCGATGGGAACGGTCGAGTTGACAGGGTTGGAGATGACAAGCACGAATGCTTTTGGGCAGTACTTGGCAACGCCCTCGATGAGACCCTGTACGATACCAGCGTTGATCTTGAAGAGATCGTCACGGGTCATACCCGGCTTGCCTGAGCACCCATTAGCTTGTGGTACTCGTGCAATAGTAACAGTCTGACTTACGAGGAATACCGGCAGGGATGACAACGACGTCAGCGCCGGTCAGGGCCTTTTGGAGACCTTCCTCCTTGGGCAGGAAGCCTGTAACAGTCTGTCTAGCTTCAGTATATCTGTGTATATGCGGGGCTAGAGCTAGCTCATACTGCTGGGGTTGAGATGTGCGAGAGATCGGCAGCGACACCTGGTGTGTTTACGACATCGTAGAGGGCGAGCTCAGTGACGTGTTGGCAGGACTTGAGGAGCAGAGAAAGGGGCTGTCGAGGATAAGTCAGTACCGGCTTCAATGCGGAGATATAAGTCCCTGCGGTACTCTCGGGCTCGTACCTGTCCAATGCCTCCTGCGGCTCCGGCTACTACGGCTTTGACCATTGTGATGTAAGTTGTTTAAAAGGAGAGGGGTTGTAGAGGTGATGATTGAAAAGGGAGATTGAAAGAGGAATGGAAGAGTCGGTGAGAGAAAGAAAGCAGGAGGTGGCTTGGAGTAAAGTAGGTAAGAGCTGCACACCACGAGCCCGTTCTGTTGGACCCAGGAAGGTGGGGTGGGAGCACGGGCCCACTTTCGCGGGGTACCGGCGGGAGTATGTCTGGGATGCGCTTCAAGCTAATGGCAGTCTAATGCGCTCTCCGGTGCAGTCTGGCTAGCTTTGTGACGCTTCTAGTTTCGTGGGTGCTTGTTGAGATCTTGGTAGAGAAGATTCAGCCTCACATACAGAGGTTCATGAATTGATAGATCCAAATCTGGAGCGCATCTTCATACTTTGCCCGTGACAGCCAAGCACGCAACCATGAGCCTCGGTGCCTCGAGCGATCGGAAGAGGTCGGATGTCTGCTAGTTAACAGATGCAGGTACAGACCCATAGGTTGGAGAAGATGGTCTGTTAGCCCGCGTGCGGTAAGTAGTAGTTCGGCCGCTTGTGAATGTGTGAGAAACCTCGCATCAAATAACAAATCGTCTTCGGGTTGCTTGATTAGCGACCGCAATCCACTTGCGCGGCTCGTTAGACCGTAGGTCGTCTCGGTACCATCTTTTTTGTGCATAGATCTTCAGGACGTGATGTGATGTGGATCTTGGACCCTGGCTGACCGAGGTCATGTTCAGCCAGTTTAGTTACCGGGGCGGATCGGGATGCTGCTAATGACGTTTCCACTTCCGCGCGCCGAGGCCGCGAACGCATGCTTCACTGTGCTGATGATGAATGGACATGACAATCATGGAAGCTAGCTGTTATTCTATCATGGATATCTGCTCGTGAGGCTGCCGCAAAGTAGCCGATCCGCGGCCGTTCCAAAACACTACACCTAAACGCCGTATCAAATTCTGTCATAGGGCCAGGGCATCCAACAAGAGCCTCTGAAAAGGTAGTTGTATCTGTATCTGCATGCCGGCCTCGTCCCATCCACGAATTCGTTGCCCATTAGAACATGGGACACGCCGCCCTTAGACCTTTGAGGACCAGTTCAACAAGTGCTGGGTGAGCTCCTAGCTTCTAACTGTCAGCATCAACCCGCTCGCCCTGTGCGTCGTCGTCAGGGTCAGCCTCTCCATAGCGACCATAGCCCTGTGGGTCGCCTGCATTCGGGTCAGGCCCACGTTGGCCAACGGAGTACATCTGCGGTTGCTGACCCATTGGGTAGCCAGTGTAGACGTTGGGATCGAACATGGGCTGTTGCGCATAAGCTCTGGGGTCGCCTTGCACCGGGCCTGGGTACATGGGAGGTTGCTGGTAGTCTTCCTGCTGTGCTAGATGCTGAGGCATACCATAGTCTGGCGGGGCCATGGAATGCTGCGCGTGCACCGGCTGAGGCATGCCGCCGGGAGGTACGACTGCTGCCGACGATTGGACAGCTGCGTTTTGACCCGCACTCCTCTTGTGGGGATGAGCCTCTTCGCGGGGGACGATGTCTATGAGAAAGTCGAACATGTCTGACTTTGACAGGGCCGAGGCGATGTCGGAGCGCTGAAGGGTGCGGCGCTTGTTCTCCTCTGCATGAATCCAGGCGCGCATTGTGAGCTCGGTGATGAAGATGTCACAGCCTTTGGCAAAAAGGATGGGAGCTTCAGCTGAGATCATCTTTACTTCTGGGTCAGCCTTCATGACCTTCTTGATCCGAGCAAGCGGAAGCTGGTGGAGCTTGTAGTCATGTTCGTCCGTCTCGAGCTTGGTGACCTGTTGCTGCCAGTATGTGTTGAGAATGTCGCGGTAGTTGCCAGTGAGTCCTTGGTTGACCTATGGTTGTCAGCTTGTGTGATGGTGGCTACGACGGAAGTAAGCGCATACGTTCTGCCAGGAACCGGTGAACAGCTGCGGATCCGGAGCGTGGTTTTGCGCGGCAATCTGGACCAAATATCAGCGGCTTCAAGTTTGCAGTAGGCGCGGATGCGCAGAGAGAACATACGGCTGCAGACGCGCCTGCAAGATAGAGTTAGCACAAGACATCATGGTGGACGCGACAGGCTGAGCCGCGTCGCGTGCCATGCAGCTGGAAGGGCAGACTTACCATAGTGGCCGCCCTGCTGGGGATCGTAGAGCGGGTTGCCCTGCTGGCCATCATATTTGCGAGGCGCAGCTTGCTGAGGCTGCTGGCGCATCTTCTGCTGGCCGTGGCCCTGGAGGTTCACTTGGTCCATGGCTTGGGCTGGGTTGCGCAAGTGTCACGCGGTGGACAGGGTCTTGGGTGAGTCCGAGGCGCGTGTGGAGGACGATAACTGTTCCTCAGTCGCGGGATGGTGCAGAAAGAGACGCGCGACACCCAATGGCTGCTCAATGTCTCGCGGTGGGCGTGTTGTGAGAGGAAGGCGAGGTCGTGATTCCGTCAAAGGTGCGGTCTGAGTGGCCGGGGCGAGGTGGGCGGGGAAGGCGCAAGTACCTGTCTTTTGGGGCGCGAGGGCGTTGCTGCGTGCGGCCTGCCATGTTGGATGAGCATTACTCTATATCCCATTGCACCAACTCTCATGAGGTTGAACCAAGGGCGCGACTGACCTATGCTCCGGTCCGGCGAATCAAATTCCAGCACGAGGATATATTCGCGGAGTTGATGCTTGGTTGGTGGGTTTCTAACGAGTCAACGAACCACAGCTAAGCAGGGACCCCAACGTTACTCAGGTACGCGGAGAATTAAGTAGAAATGCTGGCGAAGGGGAGCTGCAGTATATGGCAGATGCAAGCTTAGCTCGATGTTCTGACGTAGCATCTCTCATGCTAGAGCCTCTTCCAGAGAAGAAGATGCTGCGATCGCCATTCCAGCCATGCTTATATGCGCAATATGCACGTCGCACCACATCTCTTTACAAGGCCCGACAAGGTGACAGCACAGTAGCGACGCAATGTTCCTGCCGCCCCCGTCACAATTCAATCTCCATGCGGCGCAAGACTCGAGCGCATCGTAACCCATGCCTAGGCGGCACAGGCTACCAGGGCAGCACACTTCACATGAGGCACCACGCTAGAGCGACGAACTTGGTCCCGCCCCAGCTGGACGAGCATGCGGCATGAGCACGCGATTGGCCAGGACGGCGCTTTTTGATTGGCCTTGTAGACACCAGGCCATGCCAGCGATGAGTTGTTCGTCGTTCGATTCTCTCGACCGCGTCAGAGTATGCGAGCGCGCGTCATAAGCCAATATGTCAAACGCTGACGGCACAGAAATGAAGCTGACTTGGAGAGATTCATCGAGTGGGCTTGACGTGGCGGATGCGAACCATCGGAGCAAGTTGGCACTAGCATACCAGCAGAGGTGGACATGTTGCAACCCCAATGCCATCGAGTGCGCATGACCGTGCGAGAGTCTGCGCGAACGGCATCTGGTTCTGAGCGCAACGGAATCAAAACGGTTAGCGTGCGTCCGAGCTTCTTGGGACAAAAAGTTCGACCTCGAATTTTCCCACTGCTTTTCCCTGTCAACGCCAACATGGAGTTGCCAACGCACCAGCCGCTCCTCGCCGAGGATACCGATGAGGATCTCTCGGATGAGCAAATACGGGAGTTGCTTAATGAAGCTGCTGTCCGTATGCGCGCAAAGGCAGCCACAGCGCCGCCCGTGAGCAAGTCGGATGCTCCGTTCAGGCTGCCGAAGCTGCAGCCCGGTCATATTGCCGATACTTACGAAAAGACTGACGGCAACATCACGCGCCTAGATCATTCCAAGCTCGTCGACAAGAAGCAGCAGGCTTTGGCTAACGGCATCAAGAAGATTGAGGATCCGCTCCAGATCAAGAAGCAGAAGCAAGAGGTACGTTCAAGCCACACTTCATGCATACGCATGCCTGTGATGATATCTATCCCAAATTTTTTAGCTGAGCAGACTCGGGCGCCGTCTTGGTTGCCTTCCTGCACCACTGAGGCTCCATTAGTTCATAGTTACACTGAGGCATTACTTCATTCAAGTTTTATTTGGCATCTTGTCAGCAACCGTGCTAACAACTTTGCCCAGGAGAAGAAGGCCACCGCTGGATCACAATGGTTCAATATGCCCAAGACCGACCTCACCCCAGAACTGCGCCGAGACCTACAGCTTCTCAAGATGAGGAACGTCCTTGACCCGAAGCGCCACTACAAGAAGGACAACAAGAAGGGCGACGTTCCCGCATTCTCCCAAGTCGGTACCATAATCGAAGGCGCCACTGAGTTCTACAGCAGCCGCTTGAAGAACAAGGACCGCAAGCAGACCATGTTGGAGGAGGTTATCGCCCAGGAACAGGACACTGGCCGTTTCAAGCGGAAGTACGAGGATATCCAGACAGCCAAAGCGAGTGGCAAGAAGGCCCACTACAAGGCGTTGAAGGCAAAGCGAAACAAAGGCAAGGTCGTCAAGCCTTGAGATCTGCCTGGCCACATTCTGGCTCAATAGATGCCAGATTGGTTCGTGCTCTGGCCAACTGGATGGATGCTATATTCTATTCTGGATATCGGGTCACCTTCTTGGTGCTATGCCTACCCGCGTTGATCGCAGGGAAAGGCACGCTGACGTCTGGTGCTATAGCCTCCCGCGACTGCTACCCTTGCTACTGACTGTGGAGATCGGACAATATCTCCTTGACCAAAGCCTGCATGTCCTTGGCTGCCTCTCGTCCGGCTTCCAGCACCTCCTCGTGGTTTGCCTTGCCTTGACTTAGATGCTCGGTCAGTTCCGCCCTGTTCATCGACTGAATTGCTGCATCATTTCCGCGGGCGCCTGCCTCGAGAACAGCAACGTTTGTTACTAGACTGAATGCCAGAATGCGCATTCCAGCGTGTCTGGCGACGATGATCTCGGGTACAGTTGACATACCCACAACGTCAGCCCCCAGCGTACTGAGCATTCGGCATTCTGCCCGAGTCTCATAACTTGATGACAGTCAGCAGCTGTCTGGTACCCATAGCGAAGTAGAGGGGAGGAGAAGGACATGAATGACATACGTTGGTCCTGCTACAAATGCGTAAACGCCCTCATGTAGCTTTCGTTGCTGCTTATCCAGCCCTAGTTTTGCCCAGGCCTTGTGCGTCCGCACCCTCAGGTCGAGGTCATAGGCATCTGATAGAGGTGGGAAACGAACGCCAAACTCCTCGATGTTAGGGCCACGCAGAGGATGAATGCCGACAAGTCCAGCCATGTTGAGATGCTAAGCACAGTCAGAGTAGGCTCAACGTCGTTAGAATGGTACGTACGTCGTTCAAGCAAACAATGTCTCCTACGCGGTAAGTCTGGTTAAGACCACCAGCTGCGTTTGTGACTTCACTTTTGGTTAGCTAGTCGATTACGTTCATTGATTGGCAGCTCATCATACCGATCATGGTTTCGACACCGAGCAGTTTGCACACTCGCGTGGCGAATGTAACCAGGTCCATCGAATGTCCCTCATAGAAACTGAACATATCAATATCATTGTTTCGAAACAAAGTCTCTCGATGTTTTGGTGACTCACTGTGCTCGTCCAACAAGAAGCGCGACAGGCGTCTTCTGGGGTCCAATGTGCCCAAACACAAACTTTCCAGCATGTCCTACGACTAAACAAAGATATCAGTACCCCGCAGCTTGTGCTATGCGAAGAATCACGTCCTCGGCGATAGCATGTTTCAGTGTCCAGTACTCACCAGTACTCTTTGGAAAGTTGGGAATCGTTCCATAAGCCAATTCGACCTTTGGCTCTGATTCAATCGTCTCGGCAAGTCCTCCTAATCCAGAGCCACACACGATGGCTACCTTGGGGTATTGCAGTGCTTCTGGCAATTGTGAGCGTACGTATTTGGCCGTTTCCGTAGCGCGGGCATAGGCGTTGGGTGCAGCTGCCATGTCTGAAATGGTCTCCATCTTGAACGCTGTGGTGTTTGCTGAAACAGAGTAAAAGTAAAGGAGGTTAGAAGTACAATCCGGTATCTAAAGAAATAGTCTGCCTCGTACATGTGACATTTTCGGACGGTACGACTAGGGTACAGAGGGAAGGCGGCGGCCAATTCCGATGTTGCCAAGACAGTAAGCGGAATCGTGACTAGCGCCATCGGCCCTCTGGAAGAAGTTCGATGTTGGACGTAGTGAGTGCGACGATATCAAGAATGGCCGCGCCACGATGTATGCGCTCCTTCCTGGGGCCGGCGAAGAGGGCGAAGGTACTTTTATTGCAATTACGCTGCTACAGGAGGAATTCTTGGTTGCTAATGCGCTGCACAGATTGCCCACGCCCCCCGACCATGCACACAGACTTTCTCGCGAGCGAAGAGCGGAAGAGCAGAAGAAGACAACGAGAGGGATTCACGAGAAGACAAGGATGTCAAGCTTATGGATCAATTGAAGATGGATCTGGAGAACAGTGCTATGCCACTTGATCAGCGGTTAGAGGATGCTGGGATCAATCCGCAAGAATTCAAGACGTATGACATGCCGAACCCACTGGAGTAGCAAAGTAAGAGGCTGCTAACGATTCGACAGCCTGTACGCAAGCCAGCAAAAAGTCAATCAAGACCAAGAAGAGTGGGAGCCCAAGACGCGCGAAGACGCACAACGGCGGTGGAAAGAACTACAAAACACACCTGATCACTTGGGTCTGCTAAAGATGTACAAACGCGCTGGTTTAGAACCTATCAAGCTGGCAAAGTCAGTCTTCCTTCTCAAACTCCAGTTCCAACCCCGCAGTTCGTTAACAATGGCTCCAGGGAAAACAACATCACCCTTCCCACCGACGAACCACCCCTCGATCCCAAGACCGCAGAAGCCCTCGAAGCCCTCCGAACACCCATAAACGTCCGTGCTGTACATCTCCGCCCCTTACGCCGCACCCCCGAATACGGCGTACCAACCTGCGACCTCCAACTGCGCACCTACAACGTCCGCAACCTTCTCCTCTTCGCCGACTTCGCCGTTCGCGCAGCATACTACATGGGTCTCTGCGCGCGGGGTCCCGTTCCCCTCCCAAGGATAACAGAGCGCTGGACTGTGCCCCGCTCCAATTTCATTTTCAAGAAGTCGCAAGAGAACTTTGAGCGTATCACCATGCGCCGACTTATCCAGATTCAAGACGGACATCCAGATGTCATCAAGGCGTGGTTGGCGTTTTTGCAGAAACATCAGTATCACGGTGTGGGTATGAAGGCGAATATCTGGGAGTATGAGAGTTTGGAGGACGCGACAAGGGCTGGGTATGAGCTCAAGGAAGGTGACTACAGTAGGAGGAGAGAGGGCAAGGTCATGGATAAGGTGGCCGAGATTTTGCAGAGAGATGGGTTCAAGGAGGCGATGAAATCCCACAAGGACAAGGTGGAGATGAGGCCATAGGACAGTTGGCTTGCATGATGTTACGTGGGATGCATTAGAGGGCTTGAATTGATGCAGCAATGTACAAACATATGTATTGAGACAGAACCTTCTTTCAAAGGAGGAATTACTCGTCCATTTCTTCTTAAACATCGGGCACGTTAGATCTACAAGAGCGCACTACCAACTTCACCACTCGTCCGTCTCTTCTCCAGCATACCTCCCGTCCGCCAGCAACAACTCCAACATCGCATCCAGCAACCCTCTGTGCATGCCTCTCCCTTGCAGCGCTCTGACCTTGTTCAAAACCGGCTCTCCGTTATTGACGCAATTCCAATAATCCCACTTCTTATCCATTTCAATCCACGCCTTGTCAATGATGTCCCAGAGCTTGGGATTCGGATCGATAACATCAAGTTGCGGACCTGACGAAGAAGTTGAGGAACGAGATGAAGAAGACATGAGTTCAATATGGATAGTATGCGAAGTGGGTACAGCATCCAGCGTGATGAGCGTACCATTACTTTCCTGAGTAACCTTGTGCGAAAGGACCTTTGCATGCTTCTTGGTAGTAGGGGAGGTTGTGACGCAGCGTATCTCTGTACCCTTCTTGGGTGTATGAGCCAGTAAGCGGATCTTCCAAGACCGGTTCTTGGGAATGGCGTGGTTTTCAGGTGTGGTAGGGCCAATGTTGATGACGCCAGTAGATTGCTTGTAGGTAATGGGTGTATGTGCGAAGCGCACAGTATCATCGGCTGATTCTTGGCCTTCGTCGTCGATGATTGAAAAGCCGCCGTCGTCAACAAGATGCCCTGTGCCATCATCTTCGATAAGTGTGAAGGACCCGTCTGCGCCTACAGCAAGGAGGATTTCCAGACCTTCTGGGTTGGGAGAGCCGGATTTGGGTCGGTAGGCTGCGTCGAGGGGGATTATGGACCCTTCTTTTGCGAGCACGGGAACGAAGTTTAGGGGACGGTGGACGGTGAGTTCGCCGGCACGGTTGTATACAATGCCAGTAAAGATGTCGACGTAACGGCCTTCTGGGAGCCAGAGCTTCTCTGCACCAAGATGCGTAGTCTGGTCGCGTGGCTGGGTAATGGGGGCAACAATCATCTCAGAGCCAAAGCGGAACTGGTTGGGCACGTTGTAAGCCTCGTCAGCCTCGGGGTGGTCCCAGTACATGGGTTGAATAAGTGGCTCATCATCAGACGCACTCCTCGCGTTCATCGTGTACAGGTATGGGATGAGGCGGTGGCGGAAACGTAGGGTGTCTTCTACGATGACGCGTGCCTCTTCGTTGAAACGCCAAGGCTCGCGCGTGTTGAAAGGATTGTTGTCTGAATGTAGGCGCAAAATGGGGGACCAGCAACCTAGTTGTACCCATCGTGTGTAGAGTTCGTCATTCTTGTAGCCGTGTGTATGGCCACCAATGTCGTTGCTCCACCAACCATACCCAATGTTGGACGCAGTTGCTGTAAACTCAGGCTGAAAGTGCAGACTGTCCCAGGTGATGATAGCATCACCGGAAAAGCCGATCTGGTAGCGCTGGGCTCCTGGGCCGCCAAATCGGGAGAGAATCAGAGGGCGCTGAGAACCACGACCACTATCAAGGAAGTGAAAGTGGTTGAGCACCCAGAGAGGGTCGACTCCGGGGATCTTGGACGTGTTGCCTTGTTGCCAGTCCACCCACCAGAAATCTACACCTCGCTCTTCATGCTCGTGGTGTACGATGTCGAAGTATGCGTCCATAAACTTCTTGTCTGTGCAGTCGAAAGGAATCGTCTGCTTAGACTGTGGGTCGATGCCAAGGTATTTGGCAACTTCGGGGTATTGTTCCTCGTGCGGCCGGAAGCCGTCTGCTGGATGCAGATTGAGCGTCAATTTCATGCCGCGATCGTGCAGCTTCTTCATGAAAGCGTCGGGATCGGGGAAGAGCTTCTTGTTCCATGTGTATCCGGTCCAGCCATTGACGCCACCAGGCAAATCCCATACCAGATGCCAGTCCATATCCACAACCGCCACGTTCATGGGCACGTCGTCTTTGTCGAAGTGATCGTGCAAGTCAAGATATTCCTTCTCGTCGTAGGCGTGGTATCGACTCCACCAGTTGCCCATGGCGTATCGTGGCAGGAGAGGCTGGCTTCCCGACACAGCGTAGAAGGCGCGCATGGCTTCCCGATAGTCGCGGCCATACATGAAGATGTATTGGTCTGTCCTATCGCCACTCGTGCGTCCTGCAATCCACCCGTTATCTTCGAAGAGCATGGATTTGGTGTCGTCCAAAAGGGCCATGCCCTCTCTGGACAGCACACCAGGGCCCAGGTTGGTCCTGCCATCTACACCGTCGAGCGTACGGTTTGTGCCGCCCAGATTGGAGAGTGGCTGCCCGTATGTCCATGTGCCCGTCACGTTGCCCTTGAGATGGATCTTGAAACCGTCGGCACTGAACTTCTTCTTGTCGTATACAACGTGGAAGCGCTTGGTTACGATCTCGATGCCGTGGCCACGATCCCAGACGTAGAAGTCAGGCACGGCTAGTTTGCGGTTGATGGCGAAGGTGCTCGCGCGGTCTTCGAATCGCCCATCTTCGGCCCACTCGAAGCGCAGCAGACCGTCGGTGAGGATGGTAAAGCGGTACTTGTCGCCCGCGACAATGGCGTCCGGGTGCGCGACCGGGCGCGTCTTGAAGTCATAGCGCGCTTTCGTCATGGCTCTGTGTGGATGAGACAACACGATGTATGTCAGGTAACGCCTCTTGTGTACGTCCTGGAGGAATGTCGTGGCATTGCGGGGCGCAGCCAGATGCCGGCGGCGTCATTCATCTTAAGCACGTCCGTCTGGGGAAGGGACGGTGTGCCTGACTAAAGCACCATGGCTCCACGCGCGTGACCTCGGCTGGGTGAACACTAGACTTGTCAGGCAAGACCCCCCAAAAGGTAAGTCAGCCGACTGCTCAAAATCGGCCCTGCTACCCCCAGACGGCATACCAAGGCCATGGCAAACGACTGGGGAAACGGGCACCAGACGATGATGGTGTTGCGAACCCCAAGGGTGGAGTGGGCACGCGACGGTGTCATTTGAGCTCGGAGAAACAACAGCATCGCACCGCATACGAGGACACACATCTGCAATCTGAGCCTGCCGGACGACAGCCACTCAACTTACGAGCCATCAAATAGTCAAACACCAAAACAACCCTGGTCATCGTGAACGCCGCATTCCACCTGTCGACTTCGTATTCTTATGACCGTCTGGGACTTTGACCAACCGTTCATCGCCCGAGCTATACGCTACCCATTCAGAAGACGTAACAGCAACAGTGGCATGTACTATCATAAGACATTACTCGCATACGCTATACATCAAAGGTGCCAGCCCAGGCAATTGCTTCATAATCATACAACATCCCATAGGTGCCTATTCCTACACAGTTTCTCGATGAACCTTTTTCTCTTTCTCACCCAACGGTCCTTCGATGCCTGCAAGGCTACTCTTCCTCCTCTTCTCGTCTCTTTGATGCCTGCTTTGGTCGAGACTTTGCGCAAACTTCGATTTGGCTCTAATCTCCGGACCTTTCCAATACACGATATAAATTGGTATTGTGACCACGAAAGCAAGGCAGGCGAGGATCGTTGAAGCATATTGCAAGGGTCGCCCCGGAATGTTCTTGTATAAAGGTGTGGAGTAAAGTGAAGCGATACCAGCGAGAGCGTCACGAGCAAGATCGTTACCACCAGTTGCCGAGGAAGCGTATGGGCCATATGCAGCGGTCTGGTAGTCGATTGAAGATTGATAGATTGCATACTAAAGACTGTTAGTGGACTCACAGCCATGGTACATTTCAAGTCTTACATTTGCCATGCCGACCATCGCCGAGAAGATCATAGGCGCGATCCAAGGAATGCCATAATCCGGTCCAAGTGACGTCCAGGCGAACCCAAACAAGCCCAAAGTTTCCAATGGTGCAAGGAACAACAACCACCAAAGTCGAGCTTCGGGTGCAACAGAATCTGGATTTACCCGGCGCTTCTTTCGGAACTTGATTATCGATGGCATGTACGAAGCGTAAGCCAGGAAGTAGCTGAGCAAGATGGGTATGAAGGCAAGGCCAGCGCCGACGGTACCAAAGCCCCACTGTTCGTAGACGGGCCCAAAAGACTCCAGGAATGTGAATATCAAGGCATCACTAAAACCGCTGAGGAGAGATAGCCATAAGACGATTGGTTCAGTGAAGAACATGTAGAACGGTCTACGTTTTCGTTAGCACTAGGGCATCCGTGTCTTGGATCCTTTACATACCTCCAGAAGATAGTGCCGACCTCCTTGAAGCTCATCTTGTGACCGCCTCGGATCTCATTTGGACCATAAATATTCGCATCTTCACCCGTCTTACGTCGCCTCTTTGCCTCACGGTCCAGCAGGATCGTCGAGCGAGTTTCGGGGTTGCAGAGAAAGTGGACAGCCTGTACGAAGCCTCCGATGATGAGCTGAACCCAGAATATCCACTCGACCGATTTATATCTGAATGGCTGAGTTGGTGCTTGTCTATAAGTGTTGGTAATGATGGACTCACTCTTCTACGAAGGCTCCAATGATTGCACCGACGACAGATCCGCCAACGGACGATAGAACTAGGAATGCAACCGCAAACTCTTGCTCATCCGGCTCCCACATATCGGCCAGTACGCCAAGTGTGACGGAGCCACCGGCGGTCGATAGACCTCCAAGCGTTCGACAAACCACATATGTAGCATAGTTCTTCGACAAGGCGCATGGAATCTGCCAGAGGTTGACAAGGAACAAGCTGAGTTGTTGGATGGGCCATCTGCCATACTCTTCTGACCAAGGAGCCCAAAGTTCGCATCCAATACCGTAGGCGATCAAGAAAGCTGCCTGTGGGACGCGGGCTGCTTGCTCGCTGACGCCATGATGTTCAGATACAGCGCTAACGGCATGCGAGTACATGGAAGCATTCGTGTTGATACTGATTTGGATGAAGAAGACTACGATGAGGATCTGCCTACCATGTAATTACCATTAGCATCAGACTCCAGCCATCGAGACTTGAGACAAGCGACCAAACATGGACGTTGGGTCATGGTAGGCTCCCAAGATGCCCCGCCACAGTACTCGTATGTCACGGCAAAGCGGCACTTGGATAAGAAACACAAGCTCAACTCACCATTTGCGCCAAGTTGGAAAAGAGTATCCAAGCTTGTCCCAAGCATCACTGTCTTGAAGCTCGACCTTGTCGTCTTTGATAATTCGGTCCGTCTTCTCTTGATCCATCTCTTTGCCTTGACCATAGTTGGGGTCACGCTCTGTGTCAGGCACGGCAGTCGCCTTGCCTGCTTCTACAGTAGCCATTTTGAAGCTTGAAGGCACGCAGTAAGAAGGAAAAAGAAGGGTATGAGATGCGCAATACGAAGAGAGGAAAGGAGATATACATAACACTTTCTCACCCACAAAGCCTACATTCACCCGCCTCTTGCTCTTTCCCATGCGACATCAGGTTACCTACCTATTCCACCCTGCCTCTGATGTCAAGAGGCGGCTGGCTCTCTCTGCGGTAAGCTTTCTCCTCCAATGTGAGGCTTGTTACTCAAAGCCAAGGGCTTGTCTTCTTACACAGCCAAGAACAATCAACTGATCGCGGGGTATATAAGGTGCATCGACCGATGATGGGAAACGGGATGTGCGACACGTTTCCCATGTTTGGTCGGTGCGCATGTTGGGCCAAGAGGAAGGATGAGGCATGGCGTCATAGGCGTTCCGTATGCTACTGCTATACGATGCTGACCAGGAGCCCGGATCTTCCTTCACGCTTCGCTTGTATTGCAGTGTGCCTGGCGCGCTGCTTGACATCGAATATATGATGTCACACGTTGCAAGAGGTAGTATAGGAGAACTGAAGGTTGACGCGACATCACGCCGTGCCAGGTCCGCGGTGTACTGCGGGGACCTGATGAAACGCACACGACGCCGGAGCTCAACAGGGTAGTGGCAAGCCACGACATTGGCGTTGTGGTCAGTCCAGCATGCACACTGTGGCAGAATGAACCGAGATTATTATTATGGCTAACGGCTTATTTGCCGTTGGACAGCTGGACCGTACATTTCATCGTCGTGCATTGCTACCTTCCCTGCGGGCTCAGCAGTAACGCCGTTATCGCGTCGACACACGCATAAAATCTCTGTCCAACCTCTGGCTGGGCCAGGTACGCCGACGTCTTTTCTTTGATTAGATCCTCGTGACTCCACTCCTCCAGTGGCACATCTTCCAGTCCCGTCACGTCGAACCGAAAGTACTTCATCCAGTTCCGCTCCATTAGTGCCGCATGTTCGGCCTCAAATTTCTCGCCCCAAGTTCTTGCTTCGGCCTTCCTATCCTCGACGCTGTTTGCCATCTCAGGGATTTCATTTTTCCGATCGAGACCGGCGCCGGTTCCGACTGAGACAATGATCATCATGTCGTTGGCATATCGGAACAGCTTTCTACACTCGTATAGAATATCGCGAATCGGATTGTTCTTTGTAGTCCCATGGTCGACAAGGCCTTTTTCAATCACGAAGCGTTGCGGGACGCCGGGCTCGGATTGCACATATCGTGGGGCTGCTGAAGTCGCTTTCATCGCTTGCCATATGGGCATGTTTGGTTCCAAGTCCGGTCCAGTTATGCGCCGTGTTTGATATGATCGTATCAGAGCAGCTTTGTTGGTGCCTTCTATAGGTTAGTGAAAGCAACCTCATTGTTTCGTCCCAACCTGTACGTACCGATATCCATCTGTGTCGTGATTGCGAAACTGTACCAAGTCAGAATGTTTGTCCAGCCCGTCACTATGTTTTGCTTACACATCGCCGGAGTCTGGCCGTCCATCTAGGAGTACCTCGTCTGAAGTGCCTAGCTCTTTCTGAATCACGTTCTTGATCTCTTGCTCCAGTGCTTTGTCGTCAACATCTTTTACCTGTGCATGAGGGTCGAGATATCTGAAGTAAGCTCTTTTGTTCTCGAACACTTGTTTGGCAATTTGCTTATATGCTTCTCTAGCTCGGTGAGCTTGCATTCGAAGCCGACATAGCATGATGGCTATTATTCCACCAAGAGAACTGCCACCCGTCAAATCAAAGATCTGATGGCTGTCGAGGCGCTGTCCAACTTTGATACATATCGCATTCACCAGCGATTCGACTAGAAGGAGAGCAGACAGTCCTCGAATTCCGTCGCCGTCGATCGAGAGCAGGATCTTTGTCTCTCTCGTCCTCGAGAGAATCGCTTGTGGTGCTGGTATTGGGTTTGCTGATTGATCACGGAGAGCAGGATCGATGTACTGTGAAGACGGTGGATGCGCATTAGTGTGATCTGGGTGAGTATTATTTTCCAGAGCTGTCTGGGCGGTAGGGGTTGATTCTGGCGGCATTGTAGTAGAACCAATCGGCGCGGTAGGTTGATATGCGTATGGAGAGGCATAGACGTTTGCAGTTGTCGCGGATGAAGGCGTACTGTAATCTCGTGGCGATCCTGGAGGAGCATGCTCGACTACCGTAGATGGGGAAGGTGTCATGAGGCCCGCTCCTGTGGTTTGGTTGACATTTGGTAGAGACGGGTTGTGGCCGTGCAATGGGGCTAGTGGGGGAGGACCCGTGGAAGAGGGAGGCGGAGATGGCCATGGAGTATATCCAGAGTAAGGATCCCGAACAAGTCGCAATTCTGCTTCTTCCGCGACGCGTCGGACATCTGGATCCTGGGCCTTGCTTGGAGACGTTAGTTCCTTATACTGGGATATCTAGGAAAAGAAGCGCAGCGTACTACTTTACGTAGCTAACGTCCCAAGGCTCCCAGCGACCCGACAACAAGAATTGTATCGAGGTAGGAAAAGCGGAGTCATGGAAATAGTGTGTGCCCTCCACTGCTGAGTAGCGAACACAGGTAAAGTCCACCGGAGTCCACGACATGCCGCTGTGCGAGTGGTTAGGACGCATAACAGTGGACGAACCGGTAGACTGAATGCCAGATTTGAGGCAGCAATCAGCCTTGTACTGACATCTAGTGAGAACAGCGGTGGATCAGACGGCAGTCCTAGGAAACATGCGGTAAGCCACTAGCTGCCGAAGGGTGTTAGACTGTTAATCAGGATGAAGTCGCTTCTCGAGAAGGCTGTTGTATAGCCAATCGCTACGCGTCAAACGACCCGCCTACAAGGTATGTGCAGCGCCAGCTCGTTAAAAATGCTGCTATGCGTAGCGCATCAGCGACAATGCGGCCGCGTTTGACCGGCCAGGCGAGGCCCTTTACACGCAACGTGTATGGACGAAGCCGCTCGGCAAATGGGCAAACAGATGGATCCGTGAGACAAGGGCTTCGTGATACCCAGCTTATCCCTGCTTATGCGTCTGATACGGGAGGCTACTGTAGGAAACGCGATCTGATCGATCGAACGACAAGCTCCATCTACCATTGAACATCAAGAGACGGTATCCAGGGTGTGCAGCACGAGTCGGCAGGGCAATTGCCGTGCGTTGGTGATGAAGAAGGACAATTCGCTAGCCGCTAGTGCATGACCAACGTTGGATTGGGCCACGCCCGCGGCCCGCAGCGTTCCGCTTGCTCGGCTGTCCCCCTCAACAGCTTTTCGCGCTTCAGCCACACATGGCACATTGGTAACACAGATCCAGATCTCGCTTCTTGCGGCCTTGAGCCCAAGGTTGAGTTTCTATTAGTCGGATTTTGCATGAGCAGCCGGTGGTCGCGTCTCGGAACAAAGAAGCAATTTGGTGCCACCTGGACGACGTTTAAGGAATCTAGCCCCTCAGCTCCCGATTCTATTTGGATACGAACACCTTTCGTCCAGTACCGACATGGAGCTGAACAAAAATCCACTCGGCACTTTTTCGACTCTAGCAAGAGAACTGCGCGACGACATATGGTACTATGCACTCACCGATTCAACGATCGTGTACCATGCAATCACAGAAGCAGTGCCACTCCCGTTGCTAGGTTGTTCAAAAGTCATTCGTGAGGAAGTTCTACCTGTAATACTTCGAGAGAGGAGCGTCACGTTCCAGACACATGCCGCACTATCGAGCTTGCTTGCGGATTACAAGAGCGAGAAATCAGACGCGACAACCCATGAAACACCCACAGCACTAGTTCAGGCTAGACTGCCAAAGAAGATACGACTTTCGCTATTCTGTAGCGACTACCAGGCGTATAGGATGGCCAAGACCTCTCTAGAGAGGTCATTTATAGACGAAATCGGACGTGTTCCTGAGGAGCATTATGAATCGGAGCTTGACGGTTGGCGGGAGGCACTTCAGCAGTATCCCATTACACATCTTACAACAGTAACTTTGGACTGCACTTTGAGTCCAAGGTACTACGGCGGACCTGGTGATGCACCTCCAGGCATGACGAGGTTCACCAAGCGCGTGGCGACGCGTATTCGCATGGGGTCAAAGGGGAGATGCCAATGTTTACTAGTCGCGCCGTCAGCGACTTTGCGCCAGCTCATGTGGCACGCTGGCACTGGATCGCTTCTGAGGGAGTGGACACCGGCTGACGACGGGTGGTCTACACAGAAGATAGAAGCTTTTGACTCTTCTTTTTCCGCAGCGCCAGTCGATGATGATCATACGCTTCGTCAAGCTTCGGAAGGGCTACTTACTTTCTCGAATATACGACAGCCTGCTGATAACCCGTCCCCGTCTGCAAATTTGACGACATACCATTATGAACAAGGTCAACCTAGGATGCGGAAACGAAGAAGGACACACCGCGATTCCTGATGATACTCTAGACTGTTGATGGATGTAAGGGAACACGCATGAACACTTGGAGGTAGGAGTTGTATGTAAGCTCTCTAAATATCTTGAATGAAGATCGCCAGAAAGTGCTCGCAAAGACAAAATGTCGAAGTGCGACTGAAATATTTTCAGTGCGTTATTTAGGTACTGTATATAACAACAAGAGATGGGGTGATTAGTTGCATGACGCATCGCGGGGCATGGCCACAAAAAAAGGGAGATGTTTGTCTCTACTATGTCCGAGCCAGCCACCACGTGATTCACCGCGCCAAATGTAAAAGAAAAAGAAACGCATGCTATGCTCTCCAGCGGGGAATTGAACCCCGGTCTCCCGCGAGTTGCCAGTGATGGTGACAAGCGGAAATACTGACCACTATACTACTGAAGATGACAACCCCTGAGAGGCTGAGTAGATGATTCGATGGAAAAATGTAAAATTATGTTGTACTGATACATATTTTCCAAATTACACAAGCGACGGCTGTTCAAGACTAAGACCCACCCGCAGCCCTAGGATGATAATGCCCCGGTTGTTTATCAAATGGCCTTGTGCCATTCACCGAAAATCTCAGACGGATGGTCTGTGCCCTCGTCCCCTGTAGCCTCCCAACAGCACAACGACGTTAGCAAGATAAAGTTGGAAGGGAGTAAGATACGTCTTTTCTACGTCTAGTTTTCATAGAAATTTTGAATATTCATTATGCCTCAAACAAGGGTGTAGCGTTGTGCAAGTTGTTTGGTATAACAGAGCTGTCCAGTCTTTTCCCGAAAAGGGCATGGCCTCACTCTGGTGCATGAAGTTGTCTTACTCTACTCTGATAGGTGCCTTACGCTTGCACTGCATGCTGGTAGAGGCAATAATCATACGCCTCACGTCTTGTATGTCTAGAAGCTCAATCTTCGACGTCTACAACGTAGTTTGGGAATATAGTTGGACAGATTTCATTTGTTCTCCACGATGCTCAAATTGCAATGGCGTGTTGTATTGATTGTACGTCCCACGTGAATAATACGATGAGCGCTTCTGGGCACGAGCACGGTCTGGGTGACACTTGGAGAACGTCTTTCGCGAGAATCACTTCGCAGGATGGTGTGCACATCCAGCATTGAAGCGGCAGGACCGGCATATGGTTTTCGAAGCATATTCATTTCTCGCCGAGTCAATTCGTCGTGAAGACTCTAGCTTTGTTCGTTCATGCAACCCATGCTCATTTCATTTCATGAGCTCCGAATCCCACAGAAGATGATGAACCGAATGAAGTAAAACTCCGAACCAATTCACATGCACCACGCTCTTCAGTATCTCATAATCTATGCCTCCTTGGACGCGGCCTGGGCCTTAGCACCCCTGGCCTTGGCGGGCTTGGACTCCTTGACGGGCTTCTGGCTCCTGCGGATGGCGGAGGCCTTAGCGACGGCGTCCTGGCGGAGGTCGGGGCGGTAGTTGCGCTTGGTGGTGGAGTTGACGATGGCGGAGTATGTCCTACGTTGGTCAGCAAGCGATTCTAGAGTACGAAGTGGTTGCGGTCGTTCGAACAAGCCCGTGGACTGGGGAGGACGTACTTGCGGGTGGATCGGCTGGGGCCGAAGGTGGTGGTCTGGATGGCAGACGCGGGCTGGTGGTGCTTGTCGGACTTCTTGACGAGAAGAGTGACACCACCCTCCTTGCCGGGGATGACACCGATGGCCTGTTCCAATATTGTCAACATTGCCCTTTTCTTCAATTCACACATGCGCGCGGCGCATTCGCGGTTCGTTGTGGTCGTACCTTGTTGGCGATCGAGCCCTCGTTCTGAGCAGAGTTAGTCCGTTGTCCTCACAAATTCAACACCCATGCGTACCTTGCGGCTGTACACGTTCCTCAGGTTAAGAGGATCGCGCGAGAACTGGACACCGTTCGCCCTCTTGACGAGCGTGGAGCTGCGTCCCTCTGCCATATGTCAACCCCAGTCCCATACCAATTCGTGTCCCAGTCTTTCACTCACTGGTAACCTCCCAGGCAAGATCGTGCGAGATAGTGGTGGCCATTGTGTCTGTATGGAATGTGGATACGGACGATGTCGATTGCTTGACGTTAGGAAAGTTCGCCAATATTGAATGGATGGCCCTCGTCTGCATTACCGCATGCGCTTAGTGCGTGTTTCGGGGATGGATCAACATGTGCGCCGATGCCAAGGGCGGAGCGGAGCGGGAGGTGTGACGACGCATTCACGCGATATGGGGCGGTGCAGCCGAGTGTCTTTGTCCGCGACTCCGTGGTTACGAACCATCGTCGTGTCAAGCCAACTCTTCCTAATGCCTTTATTCTGAAAGGCTCGCATCTGGATTCCATCGCCAACTTCACTTCACATCCGTTTCTTTTGTTTGTCAGTTCCTGGGTCTCTTGTTGCGCCCTCGCAGCCCTCACACACACTCCCGAAGACCTCCGCTGTGTCGCATACCCCATAAACCTTTGTAAAAGCTTCAAACAGCATCTTCGTCATGGCCTACATCCTCTACTCCGTATCATTCATCGTCCTGGTGATTGCGACAGGTAAGCTACCTTAGATACCACGCTTGCGACACAGACTAACACCGCGCAGCTGCCTACTTCACCCGGCACCGCTGGATACACCTCCTTCCCATCCCCGAACCCATCTACACGCGCCTTCCATCCTCGTTCCGCGACGATATTGAAGCCGGCCTTTCGTCCTCAGCATTTGACTTGAGTGGGAACGTGGAAGCCGGTGATTCGCGCCAAGGCCTGGATGACGCGGGGAAGAAGGAAGTTATGCGCATCATGAAGCGACGAGGCGTCGACTTCGACGAGGCCCGCAGAATATACATGCAGGACAGGTTCAAGAAGAACAACATCGGAGCGGACGGGATACCCCGCGACCCCAAGTTTGTCAGCTTCTCATGACCGTAGCAAGTGGGTATAATAGGGGCCGACACGCTTTTCACAGGACTGTCATAAATCGTTTCCTTTGTTGGAGTTTGGGCATATTACTATATTTCCTTTGTTGCCTTTAGTGGCCTATCTGTCTGACATGCTCATGGCGGATATCTTTCTGCGGGTATGAGTTTGGACGTCGATATCTTTTGTATCCTGATCTTCCTAGTTCTGCGTCTCTTCTTTCGCTGACCTCAGCAGCGCCTCTTCGAATCAACTCTCCATGTTCCTGTATTCAATCCGCAATTTGGTGAATACCATGCTTTTCAATCATGACGATGTCCTTCCCTACTGGTTTCTACTAGCCGATTGGCACTCTTCCCAAGGAGGTCGTCATCACAGCGACAATCCTTGATTCCTGACTGCCCAGCGCCGGTCAGATCGACTTGTGAAATACCCCAGGGTGTGACGCCCGCTTTTGTAGCGAAAAGTGATGTTGCTGTAATCTGTCCGTTCGCGCCTCTTCTATCTACCTCGGTGCCTGTGCGTAGCCAGGAGGTGCTCCAAAGCCAGGTGGTGGGCCGCCAAAGCCCGGAGGTGGGCCGTTGAATCCGGGTGGAGGAGGGAAGAAATTGGTTGGAGCGCCGCTTGGTGGGCGAGCGGGCAAGCCAGATGGGGGTGGCGGAAGACCTGGATGACCAACAGGAGCTGCGGAAGGAGGTCGACCATAGCCTCCAGGTCCGTTAGGAGCATAACCAGGAGGTCCACCAGGAGGTCCATATCCTGCGCCGGGTCCACTTGGTGCACCAGGTACACCTCGGCCATCCACGCCCATGGCTGGTCCAGTTGGTGCAGCACCTGGAGGAAGTTGGAAAAGATGTGCTGGCAGCGGTTGTACTGCAGGGGCGACTCCGTGAGCCTTGGCCTGTTTCGCCAGCATACGCTCGGCTTCGTCTCCGTGTCGCTCACCCTTTCCATCCTTCTTGTACGCATACTGAACCGTAATCTGCTTGCTCATGATATACTGGTTGTGCATGCTGGCGATAGCCGCGTCGGAGGATTCGAAGTCGCCGTACGAGATGAAACCATAGCCCTTGGATGCGCTCGTGATGTCGTCGCGCGCAACCTTTGGCGCATTCACTAGCGGTCCAAAACGGCCGAACGTGTCGTACAGTGTCTTCTCGTCCACTCCAGGATCAAGGTTACCGATGAACAACTCCGCGCCAATCTCTACGTTCTTCTGCTTGTCTGCGGATGCCTTGTTCACGCGGATTCTGCTTCCATACAGAGCGACGTTGTTCATTATCTTGGGCGCGTAATCTGCCTCCGATTCTGTGTGGAACTCTACGAAGCCGAATCCTTGATGTTGCCCGTTGACGCGATCGACGGGCATATTGACGTTCCGTACTCGGCCAGCGTTGAGCATCAGCTCATGAAGGATGCGGGGTGTGACGCGCTCATGGAGGTTTCCAACGTAGACTGTTGCTTCCTTATTTTGTTCCCTGCGCATGCGTTAGCATATGTTCAGGCATGGAATGTTGCAACTTACCAGTGACGCGCACTCGGGGCCGACATTGTGAGAGTTACGAATATATGTGCTTATCGTCTTGTATCCCGAGTCGCAATGTATGCTCAGGCGATTCAGTTAGAGTCGTAAGGCGTCGTGAATGGAGTATGGTGTCGAAGACTAGGTGAATGTATCTCGAAGATATTGGAGCTCTAGTCTGAGCCTGCGCTAACACGCATGCGGCTAACACCAAAACTTTGAGCTTTACGCATCATCGCAACATCGTTCGCTAAGACCCGCCGTCACCCATTCCTTCACACGCCTCGACTTCCTCAACCCCAGGGCCGACCACACATACACCATGTACCAACTTTCAGAAGAGTCCAAGGTACGTCATCATGTGCAATTGTTGGCTCGACGAACTTCCGCTGACTCCAAGCAGGAGCGCATCGCGCGCATCATCGATGTTTCCCGCGTCGCTATTCACTATGGCTACCTGCCTTTGATTCTATACCTTGGATACTCCCAAAGCGTTCCCAAGCCGTCTCTGATCCGGTGAGTACACTAGCCGGCCTCGATCGTTTCCACAAAAGCACAGCAGATGCCACTCTTTGGATTGGAAAGCAGTACGGGCTTTGAACGTCGGCCCAGCCACTTCTCAGATGCCAGGAAGGGCCAGTGGAGTTGCGTTCATGAGATCCTCCCACATGTGCGACGAGTCAGGCAGGCAGAACCCACAGAAGTGTTGTACGGGCATTCACATGGGGGGAGCGGCCTCCCGATTCTCAAGACGCTCGCTTGCATACTGGATTTGGAATTTGCCATTTCGTCTTGTTTCTGTTGAACTCAATGGAACATTAGCTAACTGCCTTAGTCTCTTCTCACCACTTGCATAAGCACGAAATGACGATATGACAACGACTTGCGATTCACTGTACAATACTATACACTCTAGGCGCATGGGTTCTTGGGTACGACATCTACGCGATGGTCGGGAAAACGGTCTATAGATGTACCCTGGGTTCCAAATTTCCTCTACTCTATCAAGTCGCTCGGTAGTCGGCAAATCTTATCCCACATGAGGTGGGATCTGTACATGTACATCAGAGCCTTTAATACAGATTGACGGTACCCTGCAGCACAGCTGGCGCCATGGCGTGGCCGGTCCGAGGGGTAGCCCGCTTTTTGAACCAAACACATCCGTCTTGTGTATGCGTGTCACAATTGCTGGAACTTGCACAGTCCAAGCTTACGCTCGTGTTGGTCTTGATCGAGCCCAGCGCCCGTTGACAGGTATTGACAGCTACGCGGGGCAGATTGCCGGTTGTGTGGTCGATAGACAGACGCCAATGATGATGCGCTACCTGACCCACGTGGTATCCCCGTCGAGCATCACAACCCATGCTCCTCCCTTCTCAACCTTTGTCGACTGGAATATCCGGCCATCGGTCTCCACAACACAGTCGCTATGGAGTCTTATATCCAGGCGCATGGCGCTGGGCCTGCCCTAGGCTGCATTGCGAACGTCTCAATAGCCCCCACGGTTCCCGCACCCACAGTATATCGCGAGCCTCCCCCAGGTGTTCCGTCCCTAATTCTTGGACCTTATGGAAACCCCCGATCGCTATCGGCATCTTTACCTGTGTGTTGTTCACATACCTGGCTGAATACTTCAAATTTGTGCATGACCCGTCATCATCCGCCACCATGACCGTCCCCAGCATTGGGGACATATTAATGCTGTCGCAGAAAGCCTGGAAAGTTGGACGAACGTTTTATGCTTGCCAGAAAGACGCGCCACCGGAGCTTCACTACGTCGAGACAGAAGTCGGTAGCCTCGCAAAAGCCTTGAAATTACTGGCGGAGACGCTGCACGCCGAATATGGAGGTGAACTATTCCAGAGCGCTGATCAAGAAACAAAAGACGGCATTGGCGCAATCCTGAGATCTTGTCAACGGAAGGTGGACGATCTTGACTCGCTGATTGACCAATACCAAGTTATCAGAAAACACCGTACTGTTGGCGGTTTCGCAATTGAGCGTTCATGGAGTGATCTGGTCTTAACCTCTTACAAAACAATGATCTGGACGACTGAGGGCGGGGACCTTGCCAATTTGCGGGAGATATTACAGACGCACACAAGCTCTGTCACCGTCTTGGCTGAAGCACTACAAAGGCTAGTGATGCAAATCTCATACACTCCGTTTACTGACGTAGTATAGCAAGTCTATGACTCGTCTTGAAAGTGTAGTTACGCCAATGGCAGAACGGGTTGATCATATGTACCACTCGACTGGAAGTCTCGACCAGCAGCTGGACGAGGTACATCGTTTGGTGGAGAATCTGGCTGTCGCGTCACAGGACTCGCATGTGCCACCTGTACCGGCAAGAAATCCTGCGCGTTCACCAACCACTGAAGCAGCGAATCCACTGAGTCAGAGTATCCATACTTCGTCTCCACCAAACTCCCCGCCCAGAGATCCAAAAACCAAAGTCTCTCTCCCCCGGATCGCTCAGTGTCCAAGGTCACCTAAGCAGTCCTTACTGGTCGAACATGATGACGAAGCCCCTGTTACATCGTCTCCGACGAGGACTATATCTACCTCAAGAGCATCATCACCCAATCAGAAACGAGTGTCAGAATTCAGCTTCGGCGGTTCATCGCTACGGTACTCCAGCAGCAGTTATGCATCGTCCGACGCGGACACAAGTTCAGCCGGATGGCAGAGTCCATCACCATTGCTTCACGAAGCTCACCTTGGCCGACATCAATCTACGTCGACTAAGAAGACATCACCTCTCACACGCACACCGGAGGTACCTGGGCCGGGTCAAAAGAATGACACTCGCCATCTAACGTTGCCTCCACCTCCAGCGATGAGGCTGGGTCCACCTCACGAGCTTGAGAGAACATCCACGCAAACTTCACAGGCTAAGTTAAGCCCGTTTCCTTCGTCGCCAGAGATCATGAAACTCCACAGAAGCTCCACCACGGCTAGTCAGAAAGCGACCTTTGAGAAAGAAGCTTTTCGCAACTCTGCTATCTTGTGTGATGTGTAAGTCAGGTTCCCTGGGTCTCATTCTTTCTATTTTGCTAGATTGGTCTACTGACTGCCACTAGCCGCGGTTCGCTCGTGGAGTATTCACACAGAATCAACCAAGACGACCCCAGAGACGTCGAGATGATACAAGCTTCTGAAGAATGCAGGATCGCCGTTGTACGGAAACGCGTAACTGACCCCGAGACAAGGTCGGTGCGCGTTGTGACGTCCGTATGGGCGTTTAGCGATGACAACACTACGCGTGTAGAGCTACGTATGGAGGACGATCAAATGTACATTCCGTACTCTAGTTACTTCAACCCAGCTAAAGTCTCAATTACCGTACCCTGCGAACTCAAGTTTCACGATATCAAGCATGGCAACCGGCCTGCACGGACAGAGAAAACAAGTTGGGTCAATTATGTTTTCGACTCGGGACAGGGTAAGCTATCAGGATAACTTCTTCGAGAGGAGAGACTAGCTAACAGTGTACCTAGCGGCAGCACTGTTCCAAAACGAACTAATGGGTCGCACCCTTCTCGCCACCTTCCGGACAGAGAAAACAATGCGCATTCACGAAGGTCTTTCCAAGTCTTTCTCCTATGCCGAGCAAATGTGTGGCCTCGAGAATCTACGGGTTTGGGAAGACAACGATACAGGCGCCATAATCGCCCTGATCCACTTCTCTGCCGACTTTAGAAATGGCTATCTAGCCTTTTACCTCAACTCCTCTGTCAACCCTATCAAAGTCAAAGACGATGGTAACAGAGAGGTGAAAATCAAGGGTCTGAGAGTGCCAATCGACAGAGGCGATCGCGCGATGAGGAAAGATAGTGTTGCCGAGGCTGCGGTCAAAGGAAAAGGAAAGGAGAAGGTGGGGATTGAGAAGGCGGTGGAGAAGGGAAAGGTCATCAGTGGAGCAAAGATTGAGTTCGCGACTGACATGGAGAAGAAGGAGTTTCTGGAAATGTGTAAGGAGATGCAGAGGAATATGATTGAGCTACCGGATCTCCTGGGTGTTAATTGAGGAGGTGGATGCGAGGGAGATAAATCATCTAAGGTGTTGGTTCATTAGATATAGCCTATAATGACCAAGGTGTATATCTTCTCCGTCTCGGACCTGCGAGAATATACAAGTCCATCTTTTGACCATCCACTTTTGATGTTCAAATTATCAGTGGACAAAGACCTTCATGCCTGTTGAATTTTTACCGTTTGAAAGTTTAGTACAACATCCGGGTACCATCTCAAATATCCCACTCGCCTTCCGTCCAGAATTTATCATGTGTTTCCTTGAACCTTTTGTCTGTATGACTGGCACCAAAAAACTGTGGTGAAGATAGAAGGCAACCGGAAATAAGGCGCTTCTGCAAATTGATATCGATTCCTCGGCGGACAGCTGATTCCTGTTGTGCAGATACGGTGGATAGCGTATGGATCGCAACCAAAAAGATCTTCGGAGAAGCCGTACGATTGACTACGGAGTTGCCAAACGCATCCAATGCGATTTTCGTACCTGTCTCGACACTGGCGCCCTTCGTCAGAGCGACGGCCAAGATACGATTATAAGCAGCCCCCTCGCGGCGAATATGAAAGTAGTATCCAGATTTGCGGACGAAGTTGACCAGAGAACGGGCTGCTTCTTCCAGTGTACCACCCTCCATGACATACCCGTGTTTAGTGAGGAGAGAGCATATATCGTACGTGCACGTGGGAAAGGCGGCCTCAAACTTTGTATGTTGGTTCGTTTGGATGCGAGAGTACCATTCAGAGATTGTATTGACCGGCCCCTTCTCGGCTCCAAGAAAGTAAAGAGCTCGAGCATCGGCTTCAATTCGAGGTGTTATGGAACCCAGGAGAGGGATATGACTCTCGTCGACTCGAATGGGATGAATCTGCAGCCTAGTCTTGAGGATGATCGCTTCGACTTCATCTTTAATCATCTTGCATGTAGCAAGCATAGCTGTGGGTGCAGTATATCTGATGATTGTAAAGCTACTCGTAGTGTCTCCATTGCTGTTGCGCTTGACGTATCGGGTACGAAAGGTGTAATTCGGCATAAGCTTGTAGATCATGATTCGCAACTCAGCCGGTAAGTCAAGAAAGCGGAAGGACTGAGAAGCCTTGTTCGCCATGACTGCGGCGACCGCTGTCTGGCAAAGGCAGTACTGTAGAGGCGAAGACACGAAGTCAGTATATGTCTCCCATATGTTTCGTACAACGACACCTTACCCTGTTCTGGTCGATGTACTGGCGGTCGAAGGCCGGATTCCGATTGCGACCTCTGAAGGTTGGGAGAAGGTAATGTAGTAGGAAGTAAGCTGTGGCAGAAGAGAGTCTGCTTCAAGTAAGTGCAAAACGCACGGACTGTTGGTCACTTAGAGAGACCGAAAGTAAGTGAAGGTGGAGGAGGAAATCTCGAATAGAGAGAGTGTGTGTGGACGACAGTGAAGTGAGACTACCGTAAGCGAGAGAGATGGTGAGAGATGAGATTGGTGCCTGCCCAGGGGTGGCTCTTGATCAAGGCACGGTGATCTTGTCGTCAAGACGCTGGACACTAGAAGTGACCAACTAAGTGATTATGACTAAGTTCAATAATTCTTCCTATCTGTGTGGTATCCAACGTCGAACATGCAAGCGCGCCTTACTCCAAAGAGCCTTCCAATTCCCCCCCTTCCTGATTGTACTCAATATCCAACGACGGAGTGACTCCAAAACGGCCACTATGCAAAAACCGAACGATATAACGCTAAACTCAACATCCAATCCATGCAATTTTCCAGACTCTTCGTTCTTCAAACGCTATACAAACGCTGGGGTGAGAAGAACCCTATGCTCGAGATTGGTCGAGTTCTACTCGCCGTTCACTTCTTCGACAACATTGCCGTTTGCACGGTCAGCGCCCATGTACCGCTGCATGTAGGTAATGTAGTCAAATTTGGGAATGTCGCGGTCTTCCTGCATATCTGGGCCTTGGTGCTCAGGCATGGTGGCGATTAGGTCGTCGATTACTTCGTCCGGAACGAGTGAATGTCGAAGATCGAGTTCTGTGACGTATGGCTAATGGGATGTTAGTAATTGATTACAGGAAAGGGGATGTAAGAACATGGACTGACCTTGCCATCAGCGACCTCTCTGAAAGACTCGAACACCTGCTCCGCGGTGTTTTGGTCTTCTGTTTCATCTACCATGAAACGAATGAACTGCTCGAAGGTGACATAGTCTTTACCCCCACTGGTTTCGCGGAATCTTTCATGCATCTCTGCTTCGTCGTAGACCAAGCCCAAACTTGCCAAAGCGGCCGAGAATTCCAGTTCGGCCAGCGAGTTGGATACATCGCGGTCGAAATGCCTGAAGACTGATTCAAACTCTTCCAGTTGTATGGGAGTCAAGTTGGTCATGTTACGCGCAACCATTTGGTTTTCGAGGAAGGCAAGTTTCTTTGATACGGAGTTGCGGACCAAACCCAATTCGTATTCCAGCTCATCGTATGTGTACGTTGTGAAGTCGTTCTCCTCGATATTCGCTTCGGCGCATTGCTCATCGATGGATGCTATGAGGTTGAGATACTCGTCCAAAGGCGCAAGCGACTTGCTGATTTCCTTGGTATGCTCCAACTGGTCCTCAACATCGCCTTCCAACGCTGATATCGATGTAGAGAGTGTGTTGAGGGCTAAAGCGAAGTCGTTTGCTTTGTCGGCGAAGGATTTTCGTAGAGCGTTCTTGATGTCTCTGATTGTCTCGTTGATGATTTGGGAACGTTGCCGCTCGGCCTTCATCAAGCCTGTCCATGCTGTGTCTAGTGCTTCGAGACTCAGCTCTGCAGGTGGGTCATAGGGTCGCAACCGATATGTTGCTAGCTTCGTCCTGATGTTTCCCAATAGGCCTACTAGATCAGACTTCTCAGCTACCCATGTTCGTTTGCTCTTGCGCTTCCACGCTGTGAACTCGGTTGACTGGTTCCTAGCATCTGCGTATGTTCCGTCGAACTTGGCGTCCTCCCATTGTGTGCGCTGCTTGGCGATTTGGTCCAGCAGCTCGCGCATGCGTCGCTCGAAGTCGTTCTGCATCTGCCACGCTCCCTGCATGTTTGCCACGAACTTCTCGACTCTTCGGCCGGCGTTCTCTACGCGCTCCATCTGCGAGAAGGCGTGGAACCAGTAGGCAATGTATGTCATGAGCGAACGCTCATCGGGCTTCGCTACGTCGCACACATCCTCCACATCGAGGAGGTCGGGAATACCAATCTCTTTTGAAGCAATGTCGAATGCAAGCTGCATGTTGCCGCGGTGGTCACTCTTGTCTAGGCTGTCGTAGTCGATGAGATCGGGACGGTGGATATCGAGCAAGGCACAGCTGTGTAATGTTAGCCCGGTCCTTGCATGTAGAATGTTGCACCCACAATGCAAGTCCATCGTTCCAGCTGGTGGAGAAGTCGCGAACTTCGACTTCATCGTAGCAGGCCGTCTTCCTCTGACACCACAGCAGCAGACCCTCCTTCGCACTGAGACCCTCCTCGTTGATGTCGCTGATGGTGAATCGCAGAATGAGGGTCCATATCAGACCCAGGATGATCTTGCTGTTACCATCGACGACGTCCTCGGCACCGGTATTGGTAAGCTGGATCCTCCTGCTTCGGATGAAGTCGAGCGACTTGTTGACGTTCTCAAACTTCTGCACCCGCAGCTTGGGTCGGGAGGCATAGCGGCCGAGGGACTCGTTACTGAGAATCTCAAGGAGGTGTATGAGTATGATCTAAGGGGGCGTCAGTGACTGGATGCGGGGAGAGGCCATGTCGGGGGGCCAGGCGGGGTGGCACGTACACCGTCAGAGAGGTCTATGATCAGGTCGTTAATCTGTACTTCGCGGATCTTGAGCTTGCTGTTCAGCCTGCAGTGGTGTCGTCAGTAGCGTAGGGACCCGGGGCAGCGGTGGGGGTGGCAGGCAGCGTACCACTTGGTGAATGTCTTCTGCTGGACCTTGACCCATTGCTGTTCAAGCGGCGCCATGATTTGTGTGCATCAGCGCTCTCACACGGACTGGGCGCATGCAGGTAGGAATATCTAAGCTGGGTGGATACGCGATGCTTGCTGGCGATTGCTCAGGCGTGTTTTCCAAAGTAGTCTTGGGCCAAAACAATGAATGGCTGACTGACTGCGGGCGCGGCTTCGGCTGTCGCTGCACCCTGGTCCTCGTAGCGGGGCCCCTGGATCCACACGGCCTTGGACCGCCCACCTCTGCTCTGGTTGGCCGCGACTATCCTGGTGTCTTCTTGGTAACAAAACTCTTCCGTCCAATCTTTGTTGTTGACATGCAAACAATATCCAGAGGACGTCCGAGGTAGCGCGTGCTCTTGGTTAGTCTGCAAACTCTTGTCCACTTGCCTCGTGGCCGCATAGAGCCAGTTCCAGCAGGTGTCGCACGCATATTGACTGGCCAGCGCCCTTGCCTGCATCATGGCTGTAGACGCGTCTCAAGATGCCGCGTCGCTGCCATACCACGAGCCAGGCATCGTTGTCATTCTAGTCCTCGCGTCTTTTCTTCTTCTCCTCAATGTCGTCAATGCTGCCCTTGATCGAGTGCTTTACTGCGGTCTACTAGGCCAGGTGTTGGTCGGCATCGCATGGGGCACTCCAGGTGCGAAATGGCTGTCTGAGAGCTTAGAAGAGACGGTTGTGCAATTAGGCTATCTTGGACTGATTCTGCTTGTCTATGAAGGTATGTCACCTGCTTCATCACCCAACTCATTTTCACTCCTATGACGTCGCTCTAACACACCTCAGGTGGTCTTTCTACTTCATTCCAGTCTCTCAAAGCGAATCTACTTCTCTCTTCTGGCGTCGCTCTTACTGGAATCGTAATTCCCATCGCTCTCTCCTACACTCTACAAGGTCTGTTAGATGCTAGCCCTGTACAGGCCTTTGCTGCTGGTGCAGCACTGTGTTCCACCAGTTTGGGCACAACCTTTACGGTTCTCGGCTCAAGTGGCTTGTCTACCACTCGTCTAGGCGTTGTCCTTACCAGTGC